TGGGTGACTGTCTCATACCTAGGTATAGAGAAATTTGCTTGCCGCAGATTGTAATTACTATTTGGTTCTTTAAAGATGTTACTTATATATGTAGGGCACAGTTTATGCTTTACTTTATACATAAGGATGCACAGAACCTGTAAGCGACTATTTAGTAGTGTTGGCAGATCTGCCTTCTCTAATAGTTGTTCATAACTAGAATTATTATCCTTGAAAACCGCTCTAAGTCCTCTTTCTTGTAGTCTTTCAAGCTTTCGAGTGTCACTCGCTTTACAAAAATACCACACTAGGTGATAGTACGTGAGGAATGGTAATATCGCGCTTTTGAATAATATTAACTTAGATTTCATAGGAATTAAATTACGTAGTCTCATTAGAACACCAATTCTCTGGCTGGCTTTTTTACAGATAGAGATTACATGCTCAGAGAAATTTAGCTTAGAATCTAACACTACTCCTAGAAGTATGATATTATCTTTAGTTTCAATCACAACATCATTCACGCAAATATTGCTGTCATTTTGAGTGAAGCCCAAGTTCAAAACTTGGTACTTTTTGAGGTTTCCCGCCAATAAGTTAGAATCGTACCACGTTGTTGCTAAGTTGGCACTATCCTTTAACTGGGAAGTCACAGCTGCCTGGTCTGCTCCTGCGTGGTAAATTTGATGGTCGTCGGCATACATAGACAAGTTCGCTGTTAGGCAGTAGGATAGGTCATTCTGGGAAACATTCCATAACAACGGGCCGAGCGCGGAACCCTGAGGACAGCCACGACTCACCAATCGGCTCGAACTAACATGACGGCCGATCTTTACTTGATATTTCCGTTCATTTAAATAGCTGTTTAAAAGTTGAATAGCGCTTTCCTGAAAACCGTACGCTTCAAGCTTGTTCAGAAGTAGTGGTGGGTGTAACGAGTCAAATGCCTTTGACATGTCAGTTGAAAGTATGCTCACAACCTGTTTTCGATCCCTCGCCAGTCTCCAATCTTCTACTAAATTGATCAATGTTGTTTCGCAGCTGTGAGCTTTGCGATAAGCGGATGAGTGTTGGTAAATGCGATTACCAAAGCCAGAGTTGATCTGCGCTCCAACCAACTTCTCAAGAACTTTACTTACACATGGTAAGAGAGTTATGGGCCGGTAGTTTTCCTTTGCATTCCTGTCATCCTTTTTGTATACTGGGGCCCAATGCCCATACTTCCATTCACTAGGCCATGCATTCTTGTTAATACAAGAATTGAACAAGGTGGTTAGTGGAGCGGATAATTCATTAGCACCTGTTTTTAAAGCCTTTGAAGGAATTCCATCAGTGCCGGTGGCTTTGTTTATGTTCAGCGAATCGAGAACTGCAAGGACTTGTCCCTGTGTAACCAATTCGATTTCGATGGTCTGAGTGGAATTCCTATTTTCATGTTGTATCCTCTGAACACAAGGATGGTCTCTAAAGTCCTCTATTGACTTTCTTTCAATCGCTGTACCGCCAATGCCATCCGCCAAGGTAGCAAAATGCTCAACCAATTCCTCAGCCACTTGTTGTTGATTAGTGCAGTTGATTAGTGCAGTGGAATGAGTTTTTCTGAAGCCGTATTAGTTACTACTAGGATGTTGAATTCGTCAGGTATTGCATAAACGATTGTATGGTAGTTGGTGAAAAGCGACTGATCATCAGGTTTAAAAATAGATATCTCGCGAGCAATTTTCATTTCATCGGGAACAATACCATGCTGAATGAACAAGTTTATGATATGGGTGAGTGGTTCGGAAACAAGTATCGAATCAGTTTTGTGCGATAAAAAAATCTTTTCTCTTCCTGGAAAAAAGTCACTTCCTTTCGAAGATATATTTCTGCGGTGGCCGTAATGGTATAAGTCACGATATCAAAAATATCACCCTTTTTCTTAGAACCTAAGTAAATTATTCTCCGCCTTTTTTAGGTGTCGATTTCAATTTTATCGTCTCGACAATCTAGGCCTTTGGAGCCATAAGCCCGGATCGAATCAAGCTACCTACTTGGATAATGGGGGAGCCTACATTGTTGACCCAAGAGTGGCTAATCGGGGCGGTTACACGTTCTTTGGTTGTTTCATGCACAGTAACAGTGATGAAGTAACAATTGCTTAAAATATACCACGGCGTGATGACCTTATGTTCATACATATTTATTAATCGTAGCAGACGAGAGACTTAACAGGATATTAAGAGTTAGTCAATTCCAAACAAAAAAGAGATTAACTTACTTAAAATTAAAATGGCCTGAAACAAATTTAAATATGTGCCATGAAGGAAACCTTTTAATGCCAATGAAAGAATTAAAAAAAAAAATACATAAAACTGCATTTTTAAACAGACACATATTGTGATGAATTTATGTAGAGATTCATATTTGTCCTTGTCAATATCCTTGGCTCACTGCCAATTTCTTTCCTCACAGCGATTTTACCGACAATATTCCTGGTTATATCTGCCGCCCCTTGGCTAATGAAAGTAAGTATCCCGGAGAGCTTCAAACCAACAATTTCTTTTTAATGCTCTACCCAAAGAAAGCACTGGGTTATATTGCTCGCAAGGGTATGCGAACTATGAAGGGGCCAATTAAAAAAAAAAAAAGAATTCAAGTATGGCTATTTTTTTAGAATCTCAAAACAATAGCTGCACTCAGGCTCGTAAATTACACTTGCAACAGTTTTATTAAAGTGACCCCAGCTTTGGCTTGCAAGGCAGACCAGCTCAAAAATCACACCACAGAAGGAAAGTGGGAGAGGAAAAATGTATAGTGCACAGAACGGAAAGAAAGGAGAAGTGTAATAGTCGAAATCTTAGCTCTTAGTTTTTATTCTTGGTTACTTTAATTTGAAGATAGTTTTTAACAAGAAAAAATAGTACTTTTCTTGGAAAGCGTGACATTTCGCATTGGCTCACATCGGCATAACCATATCCTGCATCGTTATAAAGCTGGAAATTTTTCCCTACCGCGCACGCTCTCATTGGTTACCTCGATGTCACATGACATCTAACATTGAAACTGTTTCCCGCGACGTTTCCCGCCAAAATCCCTGAGCGAGCAACGTTGCAAAATCTATGACGTCAGAGGGTAACAGTGCACTATTACATTTCCAGCTTCAAAATTTACAGCTATATAGCAAATCACTTATTAAAGGCTCTCCCTAGGGAAACAGTTAATTTTGTTTCCCTTCGCTCCGCCTCGGCAAACAAATTTAACTGTAAAGTTTTTCCTCGGGACCAGTTATTAAGTGTTGTTAATATGGTCCTGTGATACTGCTAAAAATACCTTGCTTTGACAGCCACTAATTGACATCCAAAATATACAAACGTTAAATTACATCCAATATTAAAGTTGTGGCTGGACGTAGGCCAATGCAATTTTTTTGCAAAGATAAACTCTTGTTGTCTGCCCATGACACCCCCTCCCCCTACTCTCACTGCACGAAAACTTGGATTAACGCAAATTTGCTTGGTGCAAATATGGTGCAAAAAAGTGCAAACTAAGGGGAAATAGGAAGCAAAGATGGTAAATTAAATGGTAAATTTGTTTGCCGGTTTACATGGGATTGTAAATTTGAGGGCAAATGCGGTATTTACCATCTTTGCCCTTTATTTAACCTTAGTTTGCACTTTTTGCAGCAAATTTGCAGTGAGTAAATTTGGTGTAAATCAAATTTTTCGTGCAGTGTCTCCTTGCCAGGAGGCTCTTGTCCACTCTTCCAGAGTCTCTACGTATGTTAGCCGACGCCAAGACCCAAATTTGTCGCAACTATAGGTTACCGGATTTCCGTACCCCAAAAATTTGGTTATACTGCATGCAATGTAAATAATATGTTATCTGTATAAAGCACCCAAATGTTTCTAAAGATATTTCCTCTTACACCATACTATTACGAACTCTTAATTCCTATTAAGGACATCAACACGTGACTGTTTGCGGAAACAAAGTAACAGAAATTACATTGTTGGTTTTCACATGACGTCACTAAAATTCAAACTACAAAACTATCGATCCTACTGAGATTTTACTTTCATGGCGTATTAGAGCAGCTGAAAACTAATTTTCAAACAAATTTCGCTTCAAAAGGGTTCTTGGTTTTCAAATAGAATTCGCTTGAATTTCTAAGCTTTTGCGTGACGCAGCATTTACATGACGGCCGAGAGAGCTGTCATTTAGGTTAAAAACGTGACTTTTTTCGAGGAATTCTGCTATCTAAACAGTTCAAGTGTTATAAAAAGTATTACTTTTACGTTTATGAGTGCCTCTAGGAGTAAATTCACGCTTTTTTAGCAAAACTCGGTAACAGATGTTTCTGTTGGTTTCCGTCCGTTATGTCGGAGCTAATCCGGAGGAGCTCCAGCATGGCGTCTCCATACAAAGCTCTATAAATTTGGGTAAAAAATTTCCTCGGATATCTCGTATACGAGTTACCGTAAAATTCCGTAAATAAGCCCCTCCATGTATAAGCCCCTCCAAGTATAAGCCCCCCAAACTCGTAACGCAAAAAACCCTCCGTTAAATCGCCCTTCCGAATTTCAGCCCACCGGGAGCTTGTACTTGGAAATTGCCCTCAAACACAAACTAAAATAAAGGAAAAACGGTCAATTTCCTTCCAACTATAAGGCTAGCCCAATCGATTTTGCAACGCAAATTTCCCTCCATAGATAAGCTCCTCCGAATATAAGCTCCTCCAAAAATAAGCCCCTCAAAAAGGGCCTTTGAAAAATATAAGCCCCGGGGCTTATTTTCGGAATTTTACGGTATTCCTTCGACCCAAATCTTGCGAGGGTCTTTGTTTATTTACCTCCTTTCATTTCCCAGATTCTGGACTTCATCTGTCGAATGGTTTTGACTTTTATTTTGATCTATTTTGGATGGCGTGACACTGAAAACCAGCAATTGGCTGTAAATCGCAACCTTTACCCTCAAAAGCAAAAACCCTGGGAACGAGGTTGTAAATCCATTTTATCCGATATATTTGGTAGCCAAGAATCCTAAAAAAATATCTGGACACGTTCGTAATATTGAAAGCCTATCCTTTTGACAATACTCTGAGGATGACTTTTCGCTGATACTGTATTGAGTTCGCAAATCCTTTTTCCAGGGCTCCTCGTGTATTGCATTGAAAATGACAAGCATGTCTTGTGTTGACTGCACTTGAGCCCGCATTGTATTTTGCTGGTCACTTTTGTTTTAAGAAGCAGAAAGCCTTCTACTGCTATGTCCTTACTTGTCACCCAAGAGTTATAGAAGGCGGATTTATCTGTTGACAAAAACAAAACAAACCAATCTGTGATTAGGCAGAAATGGTCCTTCATAAAAACTGCAAGCATCAATGTCAAGAAAATTAAGGCCATTTGCACGATGACGTTAGTTTACCACTACGACCAGAATCCTCCAGGGTTTTGCTTTCTTGTGTAAATTAGGGCTTTAGAATTACCAAATTTAAATATGAAAGGAAGGACGAAAAGGATTCTGGCCGTAGTCAGGACTAAAAAAATATGACTAATGACACTGATTAAGGTATAATCCTTTTTTACATAAACATTAAATTTTTAAAGATACAGTCGACTCCCGATAACTTAAACCTTTAAGGGAAATCGAAAAAAGCTCGAGTTATCGGGAGTTCGAAGCAAATAACCGGAGATAAGCAAGTCGTTGGGCGTGGGATGCAAGTATCGAGCACTCTTCACTACAAGGACTTCAGTACTCTGTTTTTTCCCCCGACCTGTCACGCGCATAAAACATGGTTCGAGTTATCGAGGTCATTTTGTATAGAAACGATGTGGACAGAAACAAAAATTACTTCGAGTTAGCGGGAGGTTCAGGTTACCGAGGGTAAAATTACAGTAAATGTATGAAGGAAATCCAGGGGAAATTGATTTTGGTTCGAGTTAGCGCGAGGTTCGAGTTATTGGAGGTCAATTACTTCAGCTGCGCGATTTGCGCTACTCTTTATATCACAAGGAAAAGGCGGTTAGACCTATCTTTTCCTTGATTTTGCTATGTTATAGAAGTGCTCTGCAGAGCTTAGCCTGTGGTGACCCCTACAAGAAGACAAAAATGTTATGGGCTATGGCGCTGCTAAGGGACAAGTAGTCTCATTCCAAATAGCCGCCATCTTAGTCGCAGTCTTGGATTTTACTGAAAATTCAGAGATTTAAAAAAGCAGTTTTGAAACTAACTGCTCATCATATTTGACTGTTGAAATTTTGTTATTAGTAAACATTTTGCTGGTTTATGTCCTGTTTGTCTTTTTACGGGATCAAGCGAAAAAGGGCCCTACTAGAAGGGTGGGGGAGGCAAAATATGAACAGAGATTCACTATTATCAGTGGAGCATTTTACAATAACTTTGATTAAAGTCAATGGTAGATAGCTATAGTCTATAGAATGAGTAAATTAAACAACGGAAGTGGCCGGAATTTTTAAAACTATGCGGTTATTGTGCTGGCATAGGGTTTGTGGTCCGTGGGTCATTCGTCCATTTAATTTTCAATTTAAAAACAAAAATTGAAAATCGATGTCAATTTTCGATTTTCGATTTTTGTTCTTTCTGTATAATGGATAAACATGTTTCATAACTCTTTTTACCATTTTCCCCTTTAAACAAAAATGAGAAAATAAACACACAGCTCTTATTTGCTACAATCAATATTAAAACGGTTATCGAAATATAGATATTAGGGAACTTAAGAACCACGACGACGACTTTGTCGACGACGACCGGAAGCGAGATACCGTGCACTGCGCAAGCGCGGTTAACAAATTTCGTCGTCGTGGTGTCGTCGACGACGCCAAACACAGTAGACTCACGTCGTCCTGCAATCCACAAGCTTCGGCAGGTTAACTCCCTGTTTTTAAGCGATTTTTCAAGGGCTTTGTATTTTTTCACCTCGTAAATCCAGGTATCCTTTCTTTTTTTCTCCTAACAAGCGATGTTGATGGAAAATTTGACTGTTGAATTGTGTTTACTTCGAAGACAACGCTGAGCTGTGCAGGCCGAGCGAGCGAACTCGTAAGTGACAAATTTATTTGTACGTATTTAGGTCAGGCAAATCATATATCTTTAATATAGAGGAAATGAACTTCATATGGAAAACAGCCATCACATCGGAATGTCTCTTTTTCCAAATCTAAACTCTGACAGACACTCGGACTCGGTCATGTCATTCAGGTTGAAAGTTGAATAACCTTCGTGCGGAAAGCAGAGATTTTTCCATTCGAAAAGGTCAGACAACACGAAAAATTCTTCATCGTCAATGAAAGTAGACGTACCGCTTATAAAATAAGATCTTGCATCGTCTTAAAAGACGCCTTTGCGAAAAAACTTTGTTGCGAACGAACATCACAGTCTACATGTTTGTTTACATTCAGTGTCGTCGTCGTCGACCTACCGACTGCATCTTAAGTTTCCTTTTTCCCGCCAAAGCTGACGTTTTCGTTCCAGTCCTTTCCCAGTCAACAGACGTCGTCGTCGTGAACTTCGTCGTGGTTCTTAAGTTCCCTATTTTCGCTATTCGCGGGAAAACCGTTTCCGCAGTCATCTGTCAACTACTATGACGTGAATTAAGAAAACAAATTAAAAATTGAATGCTGCGATCAATTTTCAATTTTTCTTTTTGGACGAAGAATTGATCAATCGATCACGCTCTAAGTGACAAAAGTACCAAGAGGGGAGGACCCAAGTGTAGAAGTGCCCAGTAGGGGAGGGGAGGGAAGAGGGAAAGGGACTGAGGTGGGGGAGTGCCCGACCCGAGTCAGTTTAAAACAAAGACGCCATCTTGAATTGCAAATAGAACACTATGGGGACGGGGGTCAGGGTTGAGTTCTCTCTTTGTTGAACCACCGCTATAACATCAAAACTAAGAAATTCCCAACCTCCTTTGTTGAAAGTAGAGAAATCGTTCTTAAGCTTATGTTTTTTAGAATAATGTACATTTACTAGGTTTTATTTTTGACTAAAATAAATATTGAACTTTGGGCTCCCCCCTGTGTCTTATTACTTTGACAACACCCATGGTTTTTCGCGCGCTTTTGTACCTGTCTTTTTCATCACGGTTGTGTTTCGGACGAATCTTCTCTCTGTTGATGGTCAGGTCTCCCTTTGTTGAATTCGTTCGTTTTACTTTTACGTTGGTCCATTTAGTATGGTATCTCTGAAGAGTTTCGATTTAAGTCGAGAAGGAAAAGAGCTACGAATTCGAATGAATTCGGGCGACGTAAATGTCGCTCGACTTTCGCGAGCTTTTCAGGTTAAGTAAACACAACCTCGAACCATCTAATTCCTTAATATTTAAGCTTTGAACATCTCTTTAATGTAAAAATCCTACGTTTTAGGTTGAAGCGAACTCGTTATATCTCAAAGAAGAATTTGGAGATATGGCCTTTTGGCCAAATGATGCAGTTCGGTTTAACCTCGGTCACCAAATGGGTGGAACGTCGTTGCAAGTTATGGGGGAATTTGTGCAGCCCCCCTCTTCATATGCCCCACAAGTCGCAGAACAGCACTCTGGACAGCTTAGTCAAGTATTCTCATATGGAGTCACTCCCGGAAGCTCTTCAAGGCCTGCACTCTTTGGTGGAAATAAAAGGAAGGGTGGTGCCCTTGTGAAAATTATTCATGCAGAAATGACCCAGAATGGTAAAGGATCCCCATCTTTCAGTGAGCTTGGGCAGACATACCTTAACATCAATGTAGATACAGCCAATGTCTACTATATTCTATCAAAGGCAAGAGATGCCTTCAATGATCCCTCTTTAGAGTTGGTGTCTAGTAATGGTCTGAGGATAATGGACAACGAATGCACTAAAGGTTACTAATTATATAATTTATATGCATTGTTGTCTTTACCATCGCATAACATATATAGGTCTTGAAATATCCATAGGTCTTGAATATCCACACATAATCAGTGGGGTGTATCATCAGTAACATTTTATTATTGTTTCGACAATCAGTCTGTCACAAATATACAGCTGAATATTGTTCAAAAATCTTGTATGCAATGTCACTTTTGTCCTGTACTGCAAGTTCAGTCGAAATATTAGACCCAGGGCACTGGGAAAATATTGGTCCATCTAGTCTATTGTTTGAACTTTGTGAAGTCATCGATCTTCATCGTCATCAAGATAATTGTATTAACTTGTTTCTGTGCTTTTTTGTAGGTTTGTCTTTTTGGAAGTGTGGAAGCAGAAAAATTTATGCTGTGAGGGTCACTACACATGTTCCTTTAAAGCGGAGATCAGCCAAGTCAAAGGCAAAAGCAAGTTACAGCTCATGTTATGACATTTCTGATGACAGTGATGAAGATTTCACTCCCAAGAAGACTAGAGGTGGTAACCATGGAGATATTCAAATAGTAAATTCTCAAATAAATGAAGTCAAATCAATGGTCAGTGACATATTGAAAGTAAACCAAATTTTGTCCTTGCCACTCGGGGTAGTCAAACTTCTAAGAGATGCTTTCATATGCAAACTCTGTCTCTCCACACCTATGAAACCCCCAGTAATTGCAGCAAAGTGTTGTAACAGCTTAATTGGCTGTGAGGAATGTGTTAATCATTGGTATGATGGGGCTGATGGACTTAGTAAGAGGTGTCCACATTGCAATGAACCAAGAGGATATGCCTCTACCTTTCAGTTTAAAGGTTTAGATGAGTTTTTAGTTGGGGTAAGGAAGTTGATCAAATCTGATGAAAGTAATGCCAGTGATTAAAGATGGAAAGAGAAATAATCTACATAAATGAAAATACTGGCTTTTCAGTTTTGTGACTTTTAATTGTGTTTTTTCAGCTTTGAACCATTTAATAGGTGGATTCAAGAAGTTTAATGTTTAAGATGATTTTGTTTGATCATGTTGATATTTGGTAAAGCAGGAAACTGTTGTAAATTTGAACATTTTATTTCACATCTTAATTCCAGTAAAACAACATAGTGATATTTTCACAGAGTTTCATGAATGGTTTTGAAAATCATGTTACCATTTCTACTTTGCAGATGTAATAAGTATTCAATTTCATGAAAATAAACAGAGATATATTGAAATCATTAAATATTGTGGTTGTTCTAACAGTTAGTTTGGACTATATGTTGTAGTTAGATCAATGAAATTCATTAGGCCCTCTCTAAATGGGTGATGATCACCATTCACAAGGCAATAGAAAATGACCTTGAAACTAGGGTAAGCAAGTTATCAGAACGCAATTGCTGGAGCTGTTTGTTCCCAGCTAGGATATCAGTTCCAAACACTTCTGGAGATCTAAGATTGCCACCATCCCTTTCATAGGCAGATACAGCTTCTTCACCAGTGGGAAGCATGTCTATAGATGGAAGGATAAATGTCTTCTTATTTTCCTCCATTCTTTTATCTGGAACTCCCTTCCCTGTTAGAATAGAAGAAAGATGTCTCTTGACAATAAAAACAGTATTAACCCTTTAAGTCCCAATAGTGACCAACAGCAATTTTCTCCTAACAATGTCCATACATTGTCAAGAGATAACAGGGTCGTAACATAGTATATCCGGGACCCATTGATCCCTATTTTCTTGCCGTTATTTTAATCCCTGAGCCCCATTTTCCCAAAATTTTGATCCTTGAGCCCTGATAAAAAAATTGATCCCATCCATGTTTTACACAAAATTTTAACTTAGACAACTTTGTTTATCTCCAAATATAGAATATAGAACATGCTCAAATGGGCTAGTGAGAAAAACATTAACTTTGATTTTTAGTGCAAGTTGTATAGGTTCTATCAGAGCTATAAAGATCAATATGAGTCAACCTCTTTTTGTGCATATTATTCTATTTAAAACACTTTAAATATAATGTTTGGCGATACTATGCAAATGATAAAACCTGATTTTCTTGAACGGGAGCTTTAGTAAGATACAGAATGTAAGTTGTTGTTAATTTATACATCAAAAGTAGTCCACTTCCCTTTAAACTTCGTACATCTTGTAAGATCTTGCGGCGGAAACTTGATTTTTTCAGATGTAACGTTCATCAAGAGTATTTACAAGGTTTATTTTCAGTGTTGCTCATAGGAGCAAGGCCACCCGGAGGTTTATAAGCCAATCACAAGAAAGCATTGGATACAAAGTTCGAAAAAATACATTGTTAGTCAAACAGCAAACACAGCTAGCGCTGGTTGGTCCCCGGTTGAATTAACGTCACTGTAAGGTATTTCTGAACTAAGGTCTTCCTCTAGCTTTCCAATTCCTATCCCGTACGAACATCTTCTTGCCCGGATAACTTGTCCAGTTAATCAATGTTAATCAGTTTCACGTCGGCCGTGTTATTGGTCTACAACATTGATGGTAATAAAGTGTAACCGTTTGTCTCACGATTCAGTCACTTAATGATGTAGATCGCGACGTTTCAACTGCGTATTTCAAGTGTTCATTAGAAAAAGCAACACTTAAAGACCTTGCCTTGCTAGTCTTTGTTGACTGGTCACACGTGAACTTATATGACTCCAAGCTCTGGTTCCGGTTGGTAGATTATTAGCCGCTGAGATTGGTACATTTCTTAGGCCGCTGTTTGTATGAGCTTTTGCCTCACTGGTCCGCTGTCGTACGGATCTCCTATGGCTGTGTCTCTTGATTAAGGGCAACCAAGCTTCTGGACTTTCTATTCTGCTATTCCTGTTGATGTTGTTAGAGTGTAGTCTTATGTGAATTTCCTCTTTAACTCTGTGTGTGTTACAGTGAGGATCACGATCAATTACCAATAGCAAAATACCTGCTTTAGATGAAGTAGAAAATTTAATGATGCAAGCCACAGGTTCTACAGTTTAACAGCTTTTCTGTGTCAAGCCTATTAATGGATTTTCCTGGCTTAACAACCATTGTAGAGGACATATCTGGTTGTAGGTCTTCCAGACCTACTCCTTCCAGCTTCGAATCTAATTGGCTCTGAAAAGGTGCGCACCAGAGCTCACTCCCCTTCCTCTTCGTCACCACCTGACGCAGGTGAATCATCTGATCCAACTGACCCCTGGAGCAATGCAACTAGGCGTTGCTCTTCAAGGCAGCTCCAACAGAAGTTGTTTCCATCTTTTATTATTTGAACTTTCCCGATGATACACTCAGGTGAATTTCTATCGTCACCGTGCCCAGTCTGGTATACAAGGGGATCTTCTTTTGACTGTTCCAGCTATCTCAAACCCATGTGATCTTCCAGGAATGCGTCACCGTTATGGCGGAGATCTTTTAGAAGGACCGTAAGGAAGAAGGGAATGATATACCTCTTGTAATTGTGCTTGAGAGCAACTACGTCGCCTTTTGAATAGATAATCTCATATTCTTTGGCTGCGTCTTGAACCGTGTAGTTTGTCCTTCACTCCCATGAACCTCTTTCAGCAGATCGACTTCTCCATGCATGTGCCGACGCATTCCTCCTGAACATACTCAGACCAAGTGGAAGTGTACCAGCTCTTTCTGTGGTCTTCCCTCTGGTTTGTTGCTGTTTACACCCCATTCGAATTCTTTCGCAAAGCCGCTCTGCAGAGGCTTCCTGTATCCTCCTTTCCCTCCGCGCTCGTTTCCTCGATATTCTCCTCAAGGTTTACTCTTGCCGTGCGACTTTCGAAGCCATTCCGGTGCCTTTGGACCAAGCTTTCTCTGTGTGTAATGGCTTTGAGGACCGGTATAAAAGATAAACGAAGATTGGTGGAGCCTCTCTATTGATTGTTAAAGGCAGCTGGACCCCCGCGATGCGTAGTCGTTCAGAGCAGGTGTTCTCTCTCCACTAAAAAAATCAGGCTCCAAATCTAAGGTGATGATACCTTTCGGGGCCAACCATTACATAAGCCGAGGCCGAATAGCCCAAAGGGCCGAAAAAATTATTGTATATCAATATTGTCACTAAAGTCTGTAAATTTTGTGCAAAACAAAATAGCCACTGCACGAATGAGGTCTGAAAAAATCTTGCATGAAAAGATAACCCATCCCCGGCTCAAAAATCAAATAGTTTGCCCTTTTACTGGTGGCCTTTAATTCATGCTATTCATGCATTCAGTGCTATAATATATTAACTTGCTGCAGACTCTGCTACTTGTACCTAGTATGCAACATTCCTTTCACCAGTTCAACCGTTTATTTTATAAAAAAACTGAAGAAAATAAACTATAAGGGTTTTGTTACTCAGTTTATTTCACAGAGGTAAGTCTTTGGTGTTCCACTTATTTTCACTAATTCTACACTGTAATTTCAGATTATTTATCATACAAGCATTTATCGGTTATACAGTAGTGGAATGTGTCCTTTACTTTCCCGGCCCAATACTAGTACTGGTAGGTGAACCGATCTCGGTTTCTCATCAGAGTTTAAGATAACCCTAAAACTCCATGCAATTAGAGCAGATTTATTAAATTGCGAGAAAGTATTTATTTTGCAACAAAGCGCGCGAATTCATTTCACTTTTGTATTCTACTTATTACTGGTCAAAAAATACGAACCTCGATTTATAGTCGCCTTGTGACTTGCTTGAGGCGATGAGGCAATCGGGACCTATACAGTAAATTCCGCTTTCAATGAAACGGTTTGTCTATTGTCCTGGCGGTATTGTTATGTTTGATCGGCCCAAAAACTCTATACTTGGACCCTTGTCAGAAGTAAATCAGTCAAGGAAGTACTTACGTACCTTTCTCTGTCACAGGATTTCTTTTTGTCCTTTTCCTTCTTTCCCATTTTTCGCCAAAAAAGATATGTATAAATCGCTTTCTCTCAGTTTCTCTGCCTTCTGGCGTTGACAGCGCATTTAGGAGTTGCGTTAGAAAGCGAGAAAAGTGACTTGAGATTCATATTACGGTGTCCTCAACAATTAATAAATTAAGAATATGATACCATTTTTTCATCAAACAACCAGGACTTCGTATGACAGGAACTTCCGCCAGCCGGAAGCAAGAATAGGTAATGTACCTTGGCCAGGAAATTCTATGGACACAAACCTTATTATGCGGAAAAATAGTGTGATAAGAGATTTTTAGACCGTGTAATAAATCTGATCCCTGATTCGGCCTCAAAAGCCTTGCGATCCCTGATCCCATTCTTCTGAGCCCTGAGCCCTTTCCTCTGAGCCCTGAGCCCAGTCATATTTTGGGCTCTGAGCCCTGAGCCCATATACCATGTTACGACCCTGAGATAAGGTTGTAAGAATATAAAAAATTAACACGAAAGAGAAAATGCCTTGATGTTTTATTAAATTCTCTCAACTTATTCTTAAAGGATTATGTATGGAGATCAGTTTGGAGAATTTGTATGTGGATACTAGGGCTTAAAGGGTTAAGATATTCAGTTTTTTACAATTTTTGTTATTGGTGTAGCACTCCCACACTCAGAAAGTTAATTATCCCAACAGATGAATATTGAGTAATTTAATTTACCTGAGAATGTGGTGTTTTTTAAGAGACCCCTTCTTAATTCTCGTTATCTGTCATATTTAACTTGGCAGTTATTAAAACTCCTGGTACAGTTAAAAACTTGGAATTAATATCGATTTTCCATAGGCTGGGTTTACTGAACCACCACCACCTCAATAAACTCTTACCAGGGATAGCATGGTTGTTCCAGCTGGAAATAACTTGTTTGATAATTCCAATGTCTGCTACCCTGGAGGTAAACCATGATACACAGAACTTGTTCATGTCATCATCCATATTTATTAGGTCTCACCATAGCATTTAGAGCTCGTTTAATAGGGTAGTTGACACGGGAGTTAAACTCTACCCATTTTCTCTCAGCAGGATGATTCTTGAAATGAGAATAATAATAAATGATAATAATAAAAATAATGATTAATGGTAATTATCATAATAAATAATGGTGACATATGTTCACTAAACAAACACCTGCTTCGAAGTTGTTTTTATAAATGGTGCCCTTCTTGTATTGGTCCTATATGGAGACATTTTTTCTTGTACATACAAAGAGAGATAGAACTCTGTTCCATGGTCTACTCTGAGTTGATCCCAAATGCCATGCCAAAATGACTGCAGTTCTTCAAAGAGAAAAGCAAATATAGGATGTAATATTTAAACATCAATAACAAATACAAAGGTGAGTAAATAAACAAATCAAATTTTAATATGATCTATGCTTGTTTTCGTGATATATTCATCACTGTTACTTCGCTGCTTCCCTTATTTTACTTTATACCCTTGCTGGTACTTCTTATCTGGAAGTACTTGTTGTTAAAGTGGAAAACTGCTGCAATAATTGTAATATTATTATCACCTGTAGTAATAATAGCAATTTTCAAAGAATTTTTGAATACTGTACCTGTAAACATTCTCATAGATCAAAGCATTGTTCTTCACTGGCATTGTTGCAAAAGCCACAATCTTTCCGCTATAGCCATCACATGCACTGACTTCAGTTAATCCATACATTGCCAGTATTTCATTTTGGTCTATGTGCAATTTGTGACCAAAATAGTCAGCATGGTAAGGATAGGGATTGGTTTGCCTTGCAGTGTTGGTATTTCTCTGGACTTGGTACAGAGTGAACGGGCAAGGGCCAATTCCAACACACAACACGTGAACTCACAATCAGCAAATGTTTTACTATTACCAAACCAAAAAAAAGTAAATTCCTACAAAGCAGAGCGAAAAAATAATAGTTACAATACAGAAAAACTACTTTAAAGCGACGGCAAAATGAAATTAATGAAAAAACGATGAAAACGAAGCTGCTTACCAAATGCTGAGGATAACAGAGTCGGTGGTCAGGGCCACCGAGGAAAAAGATAATCTACTTCAACGAATGTAATTGTTACACTAATAGACACGTAAAAACTGGTAATAAATAGGAGCGAGATAACAAACTATAACGAAATTTACATACAGCACGTAACAAAGGAGCATAATTAACAAAATACCGCAGAGCGAAAAGTAAAAGAATACACGATAGCAGGTAAGTGAGAAAACAAAAAACAAAAGGAAAAAAATTTGCCCCAACACAGAGGAGAGACAATTGACAAAGCTTTTCCAATGCGCTTGTCACCAGCTGTTATACCACAACTGGCCATATACGCCTTTCACCATTTTTCTACCCCATGTGGGTCCAACCTTGAGTAAAACACATCAAGAACTTAATGATATATTTCAACTGTCTTTGAGATGGACACCTTTGGGAGACATCTCCAAGTTGCCAATTTAAAAAGTGTCCATCCCATTGAAAGTTGATTAGTTGAGACGGAATACTTATGCTACTCTACTGTGCCTTCTCTGCAGCCAGGAGAGTCCAGGACATGTGTACAGATTCATGGAATAACCCTCCCCTCCAACCCAGTTTTATCACCACTAAAAAAAAATCAATTTTTTTTGAACTAAGAACTTCTGCGGGAGGGGGACGTCTTTGACACAAACTGCTCTTTATGTAACTGTTAGACTAAGACTTTTAGGGAGCAATTGACAGTTCAGAGAACCTCGACTCATTAGTATGCTTTTGGTGTCATCAATTTGCAACGTCATACAGTTATTTTTGGTGTCATCAATTTGCAACGTTTTTGCATTTTTGGCTGAGACTTCCAGACTTTGCCTAAAGACAAGATAAGGTTTTACTCCTGTTATGATGGTGAAATTTAAATGTATTAGACATATATCAGTCTGCTAATGGTGATCAATGTTGATTTGGAATAGATCAGAATGAGGATTTCATCTCCACTCTTAGGGGCGCAGTCCCTTATTTGGCCTAGAAGGGTACGTGGCGCTGCACAGGGTGTGGTATCCGGGTCTTGAGTCTTAAACAGGTTATACAATTTAACTATTTAGCGCCTTGAACAGGGTGTCTTTATGGACTGGTAGCCTTGAAAAGATTGTGAAGGTTGGTGATGAACGGTTTACGTGTGGTACCAACAACGTTTCTCCGAATAATATCCATTCATGATGTTACTTTATGAAAAATTTCTTAATTCAACCAGTTTTTTCCCCGCAGGAAAAAAAAAAAAGAATTTCAAGCAAAAATACCCACCCTAGCAACAACTTGTTTCGTGTAGTGTTCCAGCTCTTCGTTTGACAGCCGATTTTGCGCGTGAATTCCATTTTTAAGGCAAAACCTTCTAACGGACCGCGAACTTAAGCCTCTCTTTCCAGGATATGCTTCTTGTAGCAACAAACTGACTTGTGAATGTGTTTTTCCCTGCGTCACAACAAGATCTCTCACGAAATCGACGTTTACGGCGTCCATATTTAGGCTGTAACAGCACCCCAAAGTTGTATTTCCCGCTTCTTTCCTAACGCTAGTTCCCAGGTCGTATCCGACATTAAAGATGGCGGACAATTGCAATCCCGTCTCCCTTCTACCCCCCCCACCCCCACTCCTCCTGGGCACTTCTGCAGTTGGGTCCTCCCCTCTTGGTACTTTTCTCACTTAGAGCGTGATCGATTGATCAATTCTTCGTCCAAAAACAAAAATGGAAAATTGATCGCGACATTCATTTGTTAATTTTTTTTCTAAATTCAGAGCATTGTAGTTAACAGATGACTGCGGAAACGATTTTCCCGCGAATAGCGAATATGTCCATGGTTCGATAACCGTGTTAATATTGATTGTAGCAAATAAGAGCTGTGTGTTTATTTTCTCATTTTTGTTTACAGGGGAAAACGGTAAAAAGAGTTATAAAACATGTTTATCCCTTATACAGGAAGAAAAAAAATGGAAAATAAAAAATTGACATCGATTTTCAATTTTTAATTTTGAATTGAAAATTAAATGGACGAATGACCCACGGACCGTTTGTGTTACCATTTCGAATTTTTGATGTCATTTCTGTTATCAGGAGCTGTGATCCGGTAGACAGTAGAAAATTGTGATGAATGCTGTAAATGGAACTAAATGCTTACCCTGGCTACAGGGAGATACGAGATGACGTCGACAATACACCTCGGTATCTTTTACGTTGTCCTTTGTCCAAATCCAGCTTGCACTGCTGTCGATACTGCTGAACTTTCCCCAAGGAAATGTTTTGTCATCATTTGGCCCAACTGATGTCGCCATTGGCCAGTTATCATCTTCATAAGTTCTCATATTCCACCCCAAGGAAGCTGCCGTCACACATTTCCATAGAGTGTCGGTAACTAATCCGTTTTCAAACGATCCCAGAATTCCTCCTTGCCATGGCTGAGGATTTCCTTTGCATTTGAGAGCTACCACTTGACTTCCTGGTGCTAGTTCGTATTGAAGAAAACCTTTGTTTTTGGCGTTTGCATCACCTTCACCCACGAGGTTTCCATCCACGAAGAGTGTAAGGAAGCTATCACACGTGATGTTGAGTTTGATGGCACTGGAAATACCTTTGCAATGCAAAATAATCACGTAAAATGCTGTCCTACCTGTCATACGTTATGCTCAAGTTAACGGCATTTTCGATGCTCTTTCACTCACTTTGCAAATATTCAATCACAGAGGAGAAAACGGTCACACGTTCGTTAAATTGAGTTTGGTGTTATTTGCAATGCAAAGAAACTGCCAGAAAATACCAAGAAAACTTCTTTACTTAAAAGACGCGAAGCGCCGGCGTGATATTTTTGCGCGACCCCAGTCTCAATCTCCGCCGGTTTTTACCCTCACAGAGTGGCTTTCCATTGACCGCTCGCGCGCGTGTTCTTAACCTATATACTAGGCAAAAATACGGGCTGTTTCAGTCTAAATATCCCTGAGAGGCAAATGAATCACAGTTGCAAAAAACAACTAAACTGAAATTGTCACCCACTATAGCTACACCGCCTCTAATCGCCTCTAATAAAGCATTTATTCTGAATGCTTTTGCAATCATAGGAAGTAATTGGAATGGAAATAGTATCAATCGGAAATTTTCACAGGTAACTAACTTGATAACAATGGTTGCATGTGCCTTAGAAGTGAATGCATAAAATGTGCGAGCCCTGCTTTTGAAGAGCTGCCACTTTCTTGTGTTTTAAGGGGGCTCACACTTAAATCCCCTCTCAAGGTTCTGAAGGTTTTCGTTTCCTTAAGCGTTCAACTCCACCTTGATCAACAAACGGTAAGAACTGTATAATACAAAGCCTAGCGCTATAGATTAAAGTTTGTACATCTGATAATACAAAGTCATGCGCATGTAAATATAGACTCAAGCTCAAAATTGGTCTGAATCCGCGGTGCTTGCCAAATGATCGAAATTTACAATCCGGCCTGGGTGACGTGATAATGACCTCAAAGCTTTAAACCGCCTCCATATTGGATTTTTATTATTATTTGATAAAAATAGTGTGTGCCGAAATAGGGACAGAAATTATAAAAGGGGTACCGAAAAGTTCTTAATTCAAGTTTAGATTTGTTGATTAGATTTGGAAGTAAGAAAAGCTGCATATGTTTCACCATGAAAATGGAGCTTAACTTATGTTCATTTTGGTTGTTATTAGGCCTAGTAATATATGTTAAAAATTACAATTCTGTAGGTTCATGCATGTGGAATAGGTATAAGAACAGGAATTACAGGTAACTGATCTCTGCAAGACTAGTTCTATTTGATATATCTACAATAATTTCAACACTGAACACATTCACCTCTCGCCTCTGATGTATATTCCATAAATTCTCTGAACGGAAAATACTTAGGTTATGTTCTAAAAAGAAGACGTTTATTGTCTCGTTAGTTTTTTCTTTGGACTTTTTGAGACTGATTACTAAACTAGAATATACTTTCCTTTATAATATGAGGAGGAGTGGACGAATACATTATTCGTCAAAGGTCACCTATGTTTAATACAAGATTAGGTTTTCTGATTGCCCTACAAGTAGCGCCGGAACGCCTTGGAAACTGATTGTCTAGCCAAAGGACACCTTTTGAATTAACAGTACCATATATTTTAAATAAATATTCATACCTGTGTCGCTGCAACTTAAGGCAAGAGAAAATTCCTTTAAAATGACAAATACCGCCACGATTCTCAACAGCTTGGATATTTGACTCATTTCTCCCTGTAACTGCTCATATTCCCTCTCCATGGAGGTGCGGATGCATAAATGTGTTTATTTGATTCACATCTTTTCTTCTCAAAAATTGCTTTTCCTTGAGATCAAAATTCCTGCTGGTAAAAATATCGAAGCAAATTTGTTAGTGCATTACTTGACAACATGAAGCTGATAATTATTTTTCTATCCGTAATGACCAATGAAATTTTAGCGTGTCAAGGAAGTTTTCGAAAGCACGAATGAAATTTCCAATTTACAAGTGTATGACCAGTAGGCAGAAGGGAAAAGTGTAAATAACGTAATCGTTTGCGTATTTAGGAAGGAAAACTTCCTGTATCTTTTCGTTCTCATCTCAAAGGAAAATCTGTTTTGAAAAAAAAAAAATTCGTGCAAATGTCTTTGTAATGAAAATGAAATTTTCCGTTTAACGATAAAACTGTTTTCTTCTTTCTCCTTGATGCATATAAAAATTTACAAATATCGAAACTAATGCTAATGAGGTAAAGTTATCAAATGAAAAGTTATTACTTTTTTACTTGATATTTGCACAAATTGAAATGATTGAAATATATCGTCAAAAAGGTTAAGCCCATATGTGTCAAATTTGATTCCAATTCTTGAGTCTGTGGTTAAAAAATTCAAGAGTGTACGACTTAAAACAGAATAACTTAAAACAATTGTCTTCTTTCAAAGAAAATCTATTGCTGAGTTGTTTCACTTACTTTGCCCTTGATAAAAGACAATGAATTTCCTTTTGAAAGGTGTAATTAAAAACTATCAATTTGACCATTGATTCTCGCACAGATCGAAAGTTATTACGCACTGGTGACACCCTTCATATCCTCTCACGTACAAGATAACAAAATGCAACATCGGCGACCATGTGTATCAATTTAGGCTTTTTTTCCCGAGGAAACTAACCTGAGATCAGGCCCAGTTTAACGGACACACCATCATTATTAAACTTTCATTTTTAAAACCAGGCCCAAAAGGTAAACTTAATTGTTGTTAAGAAGATCTTGAAACAATTTTATGACGCTAAAATAGATTAATCACTGGCGCCAGCTTCTTGCATACTAAGATTTATGTTTGCTCGTATTTGTTCATAGTTTAACTTAAAGCATTTCTAAACCTAGCCTCCTTCTTTATTTCTTATGCAGCTAATTAACAATGTGGTTAAAGTGAAAATTAATAAAAAACGTAAACATGAATAGTATTTGAAGGCTATGACGTTCACACGGTTGGAACAATTTTCGTTCAGATACGTTGAAAACTCGTGAGTTTCGGTGTTTACTCGAAACCACCTTAACCGTGCGAAAATTTAGACACCTAGCCGTTGAAAAATATGAAAGTTCAAAATCGTTGTCAATTTTTTAGCCAGTATAAGGTCGCAAATTTTACCGGCGCGGTGTGAACGCCATAACCGTTTCTATTTTTGTACTGCAAAGGCGTGGTTGCATGGATGCGTGGTATCTCAGCTAAAAGAGGCTCAATCTCGTTCCCAGAGGTCGCGATCCTTTTGTACAGCGACGGGGATCATTGACCCATCCGCTGTACAAAAGTAACGGAGGCTCTGGGAACGAGACTGAACGAGGCCATTTTGTATTTGATCAAGTAGTGTTCTGCGCATGGGCAGTTGGTATAACCTCTGACAAAAGTTCAACCTGGTTCGTCAGTTCCCAGTGTCAAGGGAGTGAAAATATTGTATGGTTTTGAGTGAACGAATTGTCCTGTCAAATTTTTCAGCCGATCAAATAATTTATCCACTGTCTTGTGAACTGAGTGCAGCATCGGAGAACATGCAGCTATTTTCTCGGCGCAGACCAGAGGGCGGGATCGGCTAGGGGGAATCATGGGCAGATTTTTTGTGACCTGTCGTCCGTTACAATTCGAAGCAGTCAAGGTCACCACCCACAGAAGCTCCAAAATTGTATTATGTAAATTTTGAGGCATTTGTTTGAAACCACTTCTCACTTACTGCATACCACTGCTTACCACGGTACCTCTGCAGCGGACCAAACTTGTCGTCAACGCTGGAATTGTTTTCAGAAGACTGGGGTTTACATTTTCCTTTTCCTACATAACGTGGTTTCGGCATCTTCAGGGCGGAAAAACGTTCTGCGCAAGCTTCTGCGCATCCCTCGGTCGCAGGCTCAAGGCGGGCTTTTCTGTGTGTCTGACTGTTTGTTTGTGTCGTTCTCAGAGAATTCTGACTGAGACTGAATGAAAAAACGAGGTGCGAGCCTCAGTTGGTAATTAAATTATATAGTTACATAACTGGAAAGAAATTTTTGCAATAATGTATTAACTTTAACTTTATCTGAAAGAAATCCTACTTCTGCGTAGCTTTTGACAGGTGTCATGCATCGTGGCATCAAGTTTTTTTACGATATTTCTTTTTGGTGTTAATTTCAATACATGTGTACTGATTGTTTGATGACCTCGTTAAAGAGACTGGATGGCTCTCAGTTTAATTAACAATTAATGAATGAGGCTGAGTATCTTGTGAAGAATTATGGAGATCGAGGAGGGTGTTATCCGTCGAGGCCGTAGGCCGAGGCGGATAACACCCTCCGAGCTCACAACCAAAACAACGCAACCTCGTCCCCAGGTCTTCTCGTTAACGGTGCCCAGGAGCCCATCATTGATAGGCTCCTGCGGTGCCTTAACCTCGTTAAACACAAAATTTTTCCAAATTTGGTCATCAATAACTGGTTATGGTGAATTAAACGTGTGCTTTTAGCCAATCAGAATCGGGAAAATATTTTGAATGAATAATAACAAATGTTAAATATATGATCTTCGATACGAGTAGTGACACTTAATTAACTGGTGACCCAAGTGTACTCTGCGAGATAGAAAGTATGGGCTGGGTTTTGTTTCCGCACTTAAATAGCAGAAGTTAGCGAATTTATTTTTTATAAATTAACGGTTAAAAGGCTTTTAAAAAAATAAAGTTTAAGGTAAAGTGTACTCAAACTTGCTGTTGTCAAGTTGTTTGTTTGATTCTTTTTACTCCTTTTTGTGGTTTGTCTTTGCAATTCGATTGTTAGGCACGAGAGATCTTTAGTGCGCGCGCTCTTGTGTTACACCCATCTAGACCCGAGAAAGTTCGAATAAGACTTTTTCGTTGTTCGTCGGATCGATGGCACGATGACGTCATTTTACTACAACTACCAGAATCCTTCAGTTTGTTGTTTTCTTGTGCAAATTAGGGATATTGTTGTTTAAACCTCAAAGGGATTGACAAATTTCAATAAGAAAACAAAAACAAAATGAATTCTGGTAGTTGTAGTCAAATGTCGTCATCGTGAAAATAGCCAATTGTGGCTCAATTCAGTTTTCTTCGGTTCTGGCTCATCATTAAACATCATCATACCCTAAAGCAAAAGAAAATGTTATCTAATTAAATTTGAACAAGGATAATATCATGAACTGAAGCACAATTACATAGCCTGTTTTCTGATATCCCAGAAGACGCAATTAAACTCCAAGGTAAGTTTAGAAAAAACATTTTTTAATATTTAATCATTTAATATATACGTACTCAACGATTTTGAATAAAACAAAGTCTGGTCTCTCCGGCTCTGTCCGGTGGCAGACAGTTTTTGAGGTGAAACAATTTAAGACAAAACGATTCTTTTTTACAACGTGTTAAGAGGCAGTTGTTGGTGTCTCAGTCATCGATTTCGTAAACAAAGTTGGCATATTCTCCACCAACGGGATCTTTGCACGGCTCATATTTCTTATGTTTTTTGTAATCATCTCCAGAGCAAAAGCACTCCTGAGACTCGCCATATCTCTTGTATTCTGTGCATGCTTCCTCTCCAGACCAACATTCAGCATAAAACTGTATTCCGAAACATTTATAACGCTGAAATAGAAGCAAATCAACTTAATATACAAAATCAAAATGGCTTTTTTAAAATCATAACCAGACTTATCACAAGACCGAGTTCTCTGGATCTGTTGCTTTCAATATTTTTCCCCAGTCTCTGAGCGTGAATATTCTTACTCCTTGAGTTACTGTCACTGCCCTTATCTTAGACCTGTCGAGCTTAGTTTAACCTGCCTGGAGAACTAGCTTCTGCTTGCATAGCCCGTCCGCGGTAATTTCGTCACTACGGAAAGGTATTAAATTTTGATTAAGAGGAAGTATTAAACAAGCAAGTATACTGCTTGTTATATTGAGACTGTTGCATTTAAATCTTCCTAAGATTGCTAAATTTCAATATAGTAGTCCATTGACGTGAATGTGGTCTAATGTTTGTTTGACACAGACAAAAAAAGAGAGACTCTGAGAAGGACGTTGCGTAAATCACTTAATTTCTGAAGCTTTTTAAAGATTTCACCCGGCCCTCCTCTTACTCCTACTGCGCAACAAAACGTTACCTCTTTACTGACTTCAGCGGCATTATATAGTTATTAGCGCTTAGCTGATCATGATGATAAAAGGAGTAACTTATGAAGACAGCAAGTCAAGTGGAGCATTATTTAGCTGTGCCTATCCGATTGACAAAGTAATCTGATTACCCTTTCCTTGGTCATCTCCTTGCACTTTGTGATGACAGAACGTCTTAGATCATTCCAATCGATATCGCTCCGTCTGAAGTTAGCAATTAATACTGGCATTGCTCTTTTTTCACTGCTGTCGTTGTAGCAGCCTAGTTTTCTCAATTTGGCTAAGAACAAAAGGAAAATTGCAAAAATCATTGTTCGACAAATGAGACAAGTGCAACCAGAAGTGAATTCGTTGTACATTACCTTCTGGTGTCTTGGTGTTGCGGTTCAAACTATTGTTGGTTAGCCATTGTTTTGTGCCATGTGTAACTAATTGTTCAGTAGCTTACCTTACCTCAGCTTGCGTTACCCCTTCACTTTTTATGAGATAACTCATTACGAACTCTTCTTGAAGTTTTATTCGTTATCCCGGCTCCAGTTGCCATAGTCACGCGTTGATCACGCTCTACGACCGTCCAATTTTTATGCTCTGATTGGTCAAAATTTGACAGGTGAGTTCCACCATTCAGAAGATCAGGGTTTGGAAAATCAATTGCATTATTTAATGGATATTAGAGACATTTAGCATCAGGTGTTTTATGGGGAACTGCAAACTGTAGTTTGCAGTTACGCTTTTGCAGTTTCACGTTGGCTGGTTTTCAAATTTAAGCAAGGCGTTCATTGCTGTTTCCCATGAAAAACACGATGCTAAAGGTGATATCGTTTAATACCAACCTTCTGTGAGGTAACACGCGAATAATGCGACAGCAAGAACTAGGAGAGCTTTAACTTGAACTATAGACATGCTTGAGATCACCTGGTAACTAGAGTAAAGATAAATATTTATTATATAGACACGAGTGTTTTACTGGAAAATATACCTTTCGTAACTAAAATTCGTAAAAACTACATCCGGGACCCGAGTGGTTTATTCTCCATAATCTCACGCGTGAGATTATCGATGACGTAATTTCGGTCATTTCCCTCTATTATTTTATCGATGTCTTTTTGTCTATATAATAAAAAGAACATTACACGTCGGCTTGAAGATATGAATTTTATTTTCTCGTGGGAAAAACAATATTTTACTCACTCGCTGCGCTCGTTCGTAAAATATTGTTTTGCCACTCGAAAATAAAATTCATATCACTTCGCGCCACCGTGTAATATCCTGTATGTACTAAATTATAGCAAATTGTTAAGGGTAGGTTCCGTATTTGCCCGTATCCATTGAATAGCATTCACAGCATTGAGACCAGGGGCGTATCCAGCTTTTCGACTAGTTGTAGGCCTGGCTGACTTTCATTTCCCCATATCCTGAAAATTACACGCATTGATTGCTACTATGACTGACCTCACCAAAACTTTGAGCTCTTAAGCTTTTTAGCTCACCCCAACAACACATAAGTTATTAAAAATTTGTAGGCCCGCGCCCGGGCCTACAGGTCTGTGGGCTGGCTACGCCCCTGGAGACAGACCTCAACTCATCTTTAGGGGTCGACCTATGTGCCTGCAGATGTGTCAAGTAAATTCAATTTCTGATTTCGGAACCTTCGTTCGAATGCGTTCTATTAATTAACAAAATAAACAATCGGAAGTTTCCTACCCAAGAATTAATATTAAATGTTTGAGATAACTAAAAATGATTCTGGAAATGATGAAACGCTTCAAACGATCTTGCGAATTGTTGTTATTGTTAACTTCTCGAACATTTACGATGCTGAAGAAATCTTACGTTGCTGCTAGATCGACAGAATCACACCCTCTATTGCTTTAATTGTTTTGTTAAGTTGCCTGACATTGTATCTTCAATATAAAGCGTGTATGGAACACATGACTTCTGAAACATTATTCATACATAAATTGCCGGTATACGAAACGCCATATTACAAAACGGGTTGTCAATTTAAGAGTTCATTATTGAGGTTAAAATATATCTTCAAGTGTGGACAGGCGGGTTCTAGAACTGCATCTAGAAAATTGACCAGATTGACAACATGTGGTTTTGCTATCGGTAAACGTAGCGCCTATTCATCATTTTAACTTTACTAAGTTTTTTTGGTTTTACTAAGTTTTCCTCGTAATTACGGATAATCACTACTTCCATCTCAAGAATTACGGCTGCTTTGCTTATTTTTCTGTGGAAATTAAACTTCCCAATAATGAGAAGGCGAGCCAAAATAGTTGCCTGAAACTTGTATAAATGCGCTGTAAACTCAAGAAAGTTAATAAGACAACCATCTGAAAAGTAGAGACCTTTAGGGGCCGACCATTTAACTCTTGGAGGGTTGGGGGTGATTTCTGGTCATCAAGAATTTTTTTCTAACAATCTGGTGGGCAGGATATTTTTTTCCCTTTTTTTCCCATAAGCTTTATATTACATTTGTGCTGCATGCAATTTTTTTTCTTCCGACAAGCGCTTGCATGAATTTTTTTTCAAAATCCCCCCCCCTCAAGAGTTAAATGGTCGGCCCCTTAGATTTGAGGACAAGGACGACAACAAGGACGAGACTCGACTCAAACTTTTTTTCTCGTTTTTTCAAAAATAGACACCCGGAAAGCTTCATAGGCTTTTTTCCATTTGAAATTGAAGATAACACGATTATTTTTATTGAAGACGGGAGATTAAGCCCTCTCCCTTAACAAAAAATTATAAAACTTCTAACATTTATTGGTTAATAGCTTGTTTCCGCTTCTACGACTGATTATCTCTAAAACCTCATACTTACGACGGCTATCGTGTCTTCCCGCCAAATGGTTCACACGCGCGCACTGCTTAGTATTGAGAAAATCTCGTGCTCGTAATCGTCCTCGCCTTAGAAACCAAAAGATCTCCAATACCAGAACCGACTGCTCCAAGGCCTGAAACCTCTTCAAGAGTTCTTTGAAGGAGAAATGCGACCATCTGCTCCCAATATTCCCACGTTAACGATTACACTAAGTGAAGTTTTTAATAACCAAACCGCGAAACTCTTTTCCATTGAGAACGAAATAAAAGCAATTACTGAAATGAGGAAATTAGTTTGCTGCTAAAATTGTCTCCGATATAATTATGACATTTCAAGAGCTTTCATTGTGACGACGATGGCTAAGGTTTAGTTAGCGTTGCAAAACTAAATTAAATTTCTCAGTACGCAAACAGTTTGTGGCTACATATTGTATCACTTTGTTGTAGATAATAATGCCCATTAGCAATATTCTTCTTAAGAGGGCCACAGTCACAAACTTTTAATTGAATCCGAGTCACAGGCCAGACCACCATTTTACAATTTAAAAAAAAAGGACAGGGAAAAATGCGATTTATAACCAAGCAAATTTAGTCGAAAAGGAGAGAAGAGAATTTTAAAGACAATCTGTTAGACTGGTTAAATCAGTTGTATACTTAATCATTATGTGTTGAAGTGCGAAAGTTGTTAGATGTCACATTTTGAACAGTGCAATCATACAAAATTTGGCGCAGTGGAGGATGTCAAAAAACGTTATGAAAACTGAACAGAAAACGGTCTGGCAGCGAAGACCTGTAAGATTCGGACCCAGTCTTTGGACTCGTTGAAACGTTTAAGAGCGGATGTCAGTAAATATCGAGACTCAGGGGTCGATGCTAAAAACCTGGAAAAATACATTAAGAAATCAGTTTGAGCAATAGCGGTTTCATGTTATCAGCTTTCAGAAACCAAGACGTGTTTATACAGCGATCTGATATAAATTAATGCCGTTTGCTATCAAGAAAGGCAGATTTAAGCTGTCAACTCCTGCCAAGTGCACCAGTCACGTGAAGTTGTCAAAGGGAGGGCAAAGCACTAAAAAAATTCAAAACGTTTTAGCGTACAAAACAATGTTGTGAATGTCTGTTGTTCGTACCTTAGCATGGTATTTCCATATATTGGAAATGGCAAGTATCCACACGGGAAAACATACCAAACAACAACGTTTCAAATCCAAGTGCCGAAAGATCGTAAACGGCAAAGATTGCGTTACATTTCACAGAACGACCGCTTACCACTGTTGTCACTCCTTTTTTCGCTGGAAGCTACGAGGAGTCTTCATTCCGTCATCAGTGATTCTTGATCAGCGTTTCCTTGAAAGTACGAACCCGGACCGGGTGATAACTGAGGACGTTTCGTCAAGACTCCTGTTGTTCAGTTTCAGGCTTTAGCAGGTGCGTAGTCAGGATTTTTCCGGAGGTACGCCCAACTTTTTCTACATCTTCTTCCCCCCCCCCCCCACCCCAAATCTCAACATTTTTGTAAGGTGCCTTCATTAAAGGTGGGGTTAATGGTTGTAAGCAAAAGCATTTTTGCTGTTTATGAAATTACACAACCTCTAAAATTCTTTAATTCTGTCGACTTGTTATGTTCATTGACGTCAACCGTTTATCATTAATTCAGCTATTAAAAATCAAGCTTGTAGTACCTCCGACATTAGTTTACAAATGACTCTTTTTACCCGTTTTTGTCACATTATTTTTGACCGACAAAAGCACCACACATTGACGTAATTGTGCCCTACTTCGTCTACTCCGAAGACAGGTCGTGGAGAAAACAACTCGTTCACGCTCAACATTATCAAGCTTGCTATATAAATAAATCATCCAAGATTCGGTTCTCCAATTAATGTCGTCGCTTCTCTGGAAACCGATTTTTTTTAGTTATGTTTATTTCATTCAATTTTTTTTCCTCCACGTTTTCCTCATGTTGTTGGTGGTGGTGGCATATTTCCGATAAATTCAGCTCAATGTCTCGTGAAGAAGAGTTCAGATCCGTGCCGCGCGCCTCTCGAGGCAAGCTTTCCGTCGAAATGCGAGCCCAAAAACAGGTGGTAAGCGGTCAATCTGTGAAAAGTAACGCAATCTCTGTCGTTTGAGAGCAGCCGAAGATGCTCTTGCTGATGCTGTCCTTGATGTTTTTTATTTCCAGTATCTAGGAAACCTATGCTAAGGTATGAAACATACACTCGTAGGCATTGTTCTGTCCGCTAAAGTCTAATTCCTGGACGCAGAAACGTTGTGCTTTTTGAAGTTTATTATTGTGCTTTGCCCTTTGACAACCTTACGTGACTCGTGCGTTTGGTAGCAGAAGATAGCTAATTTCTTAATGCAGTTGGTATATTTTGTGCTTCCTTGTTTTCTATAATAAAATGTTTTATCTCGAATAAGTTTGTCCTTCTGCATTTGAATTTATACTTTTTTTGACAGTTCCTGGAGGGGACCACGTAAAATGGATAAGAAAAATTACATTTATGTTAATAGCTTACCTAGTTACTTTTTCACTTTTGTAGCCTGCCGATATTTACTTATCCGCTCTTAATTTCTTAATGCAAGCCCCTTGTTTTCATAATAAACTTTTTATCTCACTTATCTTATAGGCCCTCCCAGTCATAAGCCCATCTACACGCTTTTTTTTCTTCAAGACTACATTTTATAAGTTAGAATATCGAGGCTGGAATTTGCGAAATTTTAAGAATACTTTAAGAATACCAGGCGGAGATTTTGAAAAGGATAAAATTTTGTGTGGTGAAAATCTGTTTTCAAATTATTCCTTTCTTTAAACGGCAAAACTGGCTAAAAAAAAAAAAAAAAAAAAAAATCGGCACTGACTATAATTGATATCCCAATATATTCCAAAACGGAAATGTCATAAGCTATAGTTTAAGAATAATACAAGAATATTTCCAGCCTAAAATCGGCGGAAAATAAGAAAATTCACCCTGGACCGGGAAAACATGCAACATTATATTCTTATATAAAAAAAGGTGTACTCCTGCACAGACAAATAATGGATCCGATAATAAGACCTCCGGATACAAGGTACCTTTAGCTTGTATTTCAACGAATTCGATTTATTATGCTTCATTGAAAAACTGTGAAAACAAAACGCATTTTTTATCAGCAATGCTATAGCTTGTTCTGATGCGCTTTTCCCCCCGGATATATTAGCCCCTCTATTTATCCAAAAACCCCTTACGAAGGTGTATAAGCGCAGGGCTTCAAACGCGGACAGTTTACGGTATAGACCAATGTACTGTCTTCTGAACCAATCAAATTGCTGCCTCCAAGCTAACGTTTCCTTTTCTTTAGTGTGTTCTTAAGCAAGAAAGTATCATTATTGTCCTTTACGCATAATTATATTCTTCTATGGAAATAAGTGAGATGCTAGATTATAAATTTTACCTAGTTTTTGTTGTTGTTCATTGTATGATATGTGATTGCTCTACCTACACTCATAAAACGAATCTATAGATATCTAGATGAGCTTGCAAAATTGGAAATTTTTTCCTGTGTGCTTTGAAGAAGTCCTTTTGGCGCTTTATGAAGAAAAGGTGGGTGGCGGTTAAATAAAAAGTCTTTCTAATCCACATTTTGGATTTTCCAACATCAATAGATATGATACTATAATATAAAGTACAAGTTTCCCAATATCAGTAATATCAGTATGAAAATTTAACGAAATCCATAGGGTGATTTTATGCTTGGGGTCATGAGGCGAGATCCAGAGCCAAATCCCCTCTCTTTTGCCTTCGATTAGAACAATTCTGTTTGAAAAGGTTTGAAAAAATCGTGAGACTGTTATCAACGGGAACTGATATGAGCAGAGGCAAATGAAGCAAATTTCTATGAACTAGGCGAAAAAAGAGCTTGATCTTTCCGCCTTAAACCGGTTCCTACTGTCTTTCGCGAAGAAAAAAAAAAGAAGCAACTGAAGGACTGATCATTTTTCAACACTAGACATATTTTAACACACAGCCTACATAAACATATACACAGATACAGCACTTTAAACTTTAAACTGGATGTGTTTTGTTAAGTTGCCTGACATTGTATCTTCAATAAAAAGCGTGCATGTATGGAACACATGACTTCTGAAACATTATTCATACCTAAATTGCCGGTATACGAAACACCATATTACAAAACGGATTGTCAATTTAAGAATTCACTATTGAGGTTAAAATATACCTCCAAGTGTGGACAGGCGGGTTCTAGAACTACATCTAGAAAATTAACCACATCGACAACACGTGGTTTTGCTATTGGTAAACGTAGCGCCTATTCATCATTTTAACCGACTTTACTGAGTTTTCAGTGGTTCGTCAATCGCGACTTTGCGTTTCCTGGGGTATACGGACAAAAATATCATTCTTCCTGAGTTTTCACATTCTTTTAACTGACATTCTTTGTAAAAGGTACTGATATCCTGGAGAAACCTTATTGTTAATGTCAATAACTCCAGTTTGTTTTGAAGCCAACTTTTCTCTCTATTCTTTATGGGCCGTGCGAAACTACTTTAGACTGTTTTTCGCAAATTAAAATCAAGTAGAACATTCCATCTACCATCAAAATACAAAAACCCATTTGAAATATTAAGTGAAATTCTTTACTAAATTGTATCTTGTAGTCAGTTTAAAAATCAGTGACCTGACTGTAGTTAGTGAATGAATTAAATAAATCGCAACATCATGGGACTGCTAAAACCTAGCTTGTCATGCCATCGATCGATTCAAAGAAAAATAACTCAGTATAAGAAAGCGGTGAGTTGAACGAACGACTCATGAAACGAGAACACAAATGCCTGCATCTTCGATCACAAACACGCTTTTCACCATTCAAAAAGTTATTTCAGAAATAACGAGACAAGATCACTTAAAACTTGAATTTCTGAGACAGTCAATTTCAAAGCCACTCAAATTATCTACCCTAAATCTAGTTTTTCGTGGTTTTTCTCGACCGGATAAATTAGCAAGACATTTTTACTTGGCTTTATCAGTCCAATAGTTTGACTTACCTTGTATTCTAATAAATGAAGTTTTCCTCCAACGATCTACAAATCTATTGATTTATATTTCCTCACGATCTCCTTTGTTGATTAGCTCGCTAATAAAACAAAAGCGTGAGTCAGCTACGGTTTCTTTTGCTGAGTAAACAAAGCTGACATAACTGTTCCGGAGCTGACAGGCCTAAGAAACTTTCCATCGATTCTACATTGTTAAGGCTGGTTTTCACTAGCGACGGAGTCGGAGTCGGAGTCGTAAGCGGAGTCGTAAGAGCACTTATGACCTGGTGAAAATAAAAAATCGGAGTCGTAAGCAGAGTCATAAGCGCGACGGAATCGGAGTCAGAAGAATCAGAACATTTCCATTTTCTTCCGATTCCGCTTACGACACCGTCGCTTACGTTCCGCTTATGATCTAGTGAAGACTAGATTGTCGGAGTAGGAAGCAGTAGTGGAAGGATAAGCCAATCAGAATGCACGTTCCCACGCTTTGTGATTGGTTTGGTTCTTCTGCTTCTGCTTCCGACTCCGACAATCTGGTTTTCTCTAGATCATAAGCGGAACGTTAGCGACAGAGTCGTAAGCGGAATCGGAACGCTGTTTTCACTAGATCATAAGCTCGACGCTTCTCTGATTACGACTCTGACTCCGACTCCGTCGCTAGTGAAAACCAACAAGACGCGAAAAAAAAAACAAACAAACAAACAAACAAAACAACAATAACAAAAAACAATAGTAATCGGTTTTCTTAAAAGAAGAAAAATTTATTTGGGGGGGGGGGGGGGAGGGTAACAAGTGCAGTCTTAATTGTATCAGTTGTCGGTTCCTGATTGTGTTTGCTCACGGCATTTAGAGTCGTACAACTGATCCTTCCTGGTGAGCCTTCGTACGGCAGCACCTCTCAGCGGCTGATCTCGGAGTTCTGGCTCTGGGAATGCACGCAGTGCTTAAGACTTAAGTTTTAAATGTTATAGTAGTCAGTTGTTAGTAAGGCTTTTTATAATGAGAGCCCTTAGCCGCCTGGCCGGAGCTCAATTTGATAAGCGCCGGTCGGGAAGTCGCCGGTTCAAACCCCGGCCGGACCAACACTCTTAAAATCTTAAAATAACTGAGGAGAATGTGCTGCCTTTGTTGTGACATCTACAAATGGTTAGACATTCTATAGTCTTCTCGAATAAGGACGAAAAACCATAGGCCCCTTCTCACAGCTCTTTCACCGTACTGATTCTTGTGGTACGTAAAAGAAAAAGAACCCACACTGCCCCGAATAGGGGGCGTAGACCCCGGTGGTGGGGTACAACCTTTCTTGGGCTGGGTGGGTAATGAAGGGGTTGATATCAGTTGGGAAGTTATCCTATTTTATTCCCTATCACCATGTTGAGCCACCATGGCGAAACAGCTGCCAACGGCTACAACCCTACTCCGTTAGTTCTACCGGTGTCGTGTTTTTGTCTTGCAAAGTTTATTTCTACGTACCTTACACGATCATCTTTGCAGCAGGATTCAACGAGTTTACCTAATCCATGCTAATCGTCTCGCGTTTGTTTGTAGTCATTCATCAACACCCCTGACCTTGGAAAATCTGATGAACTCATTTTACACAAGACTTTTAGCCTCATCCTGAAAGACACAACTAAATTATTGAAAATTAAAAAAAAAAACAAAACAAAACAACAAACAAACAGAGGCAAACGAAAAAAAAAAAAGAAACGGAAACAAAAACAAAAACCAAAGTTGCAGGCCGTTGTCCGGGACGATCCGCTCGATCTGACAGGCCTGCATAAGTTCCGTCTTTAACTGCGATGATCTTCTTTGCATTCTAGTATAGAGTTTCCTTCTTATGTACTCGAGCCGACCCATGACTGCGAAACCGTTTGGGAAGGTTAAAACATCTCCGAAGCTTTTAAGGACTTTCAGGTCCTAGCTTTTATCGTACAACGAAGGAAAAGTAAAATTCCCGAGTCTCGGCTAAAGAATACGAAGAGGACTGGAAACTAGTTTACTCTGCGACGCATGAGCAGTAATAAACTAAAGACATGACTGATCAATATGGAGGGCAACAGAGATGATGCTTTAAAATGTCGTCGACTTGCAGAGAAATGTCTTAAGGAAGGGAACAAGGAAAAGGCTTTAAAACTCCTTCAGAAATCTCTGCGACTGTATCCTACAAAACAAGTCGAAGGTTGGTGAAAATCGTGTTGTGTTCATGAGTGAAAGCTGTTTAAAGTAAGCGCTCACTTTCTGAAACAGTTGGATGTCGTAACCGGCAAAAATTTTTCGTGTTAGTTTTTGTTCACTTTTCTACTTTGGTGTTTGTTTTAAACTACATCGTCACGTCGGCAGGAGCTCTTAAGCCCCATATGACACATTTGCTCTGAATTCGTCGAACTTTTGTTTCAAGTCTAAAGTCAAGAACAGATAGGCCTGACGACAGCTGAATATTACAGTGTATAGACACGTTGTCAGTTTGAATATATCCGTGCTTAGATAAGCTTATATCACTTGTTGCTTATGCCTAGTAAATTTCCTAAAAATATATTTGAATTAAAACGAAAAGCTGTATTCACTGATTTTGAGGAAGGAGCAAAAAATTCCAGATTTTAATAATTAAACTATGATAATTAAGCATAACTGTTACAGCTAAAATGTAGTTATCACAGGAACCCCCTTCCCACATTTTTATGTCAGTCGTATTGCCAGATGGGATAACCAGGAATCAGATAGATCAGATATATGTATTAAATTAAATTAAGAAAAGATTCAGGAAATTGGCAAAAGACACTAGGTGTAGGAACCCAATGTTCAGTACTAATAGCGACAGCAAGGTGAAATTTGAGATGCACTGAACTGTAAACTTGGTTTATTACAAGAACAAGCGATTCACTGAAATCCAAATATATAAATTCACTAAGTAAAATGAAATAGAAGTCGAATTACAACAAATGCAAAGGCTAAATGAAACATGAACAATACTCGCAAGTTTTTTCGTGCCTTGTCTGCTAATAGTTGAATGAACAAGCATACATGTAAATAAAACTGAACTCAAACAGAACCATGTGCTTTTCTGAAATTCAATTTCTAAGTTGTGAACACGAAACGTGCAGTCAGCTGTGAACGTTATAAGAGACTCACTGAAAATAATGTTCACGTTTAAATCAAGAGTTTATCCCAGTCACTGCACTAGGGTATAGAGGTCTGTAGTCATCGGAAGTGACCATTATCTTGTATGCACAACATTCAAGTGGAGACTGAGGAACCAACCAAAGGGGAAGAAAGAAATTATGGTACATGTACATGTAAAGTTGCCAAGCTGAAAAATGGAAACATCTTCAAGACATGTGGCATAATCCTGTGGAAGGGATACCAGGTGCTTGTGGATTAAGGGCTGGCAGAGGAAGAAGATGAAGAAATTCATGTAGATTGTGACTTTAAGGTGATGGAGAGTGTATGCACTGACAGTGCAGAAACAGTAAGTTTTAGGTAGATTTTGGAAGAGAACCTGTTGATCACTGGAGAAAAAGTAACCTTGTAGGTCATGTGGTAGAAAGCAAAAAAAAATTTCTGGGTACACAATCAGAAGGAGTCAAGCGGCAACTACATGACATTTAAGGGCAAAGTAAAGAGAAAATAACAGAGAAATTAAGATGAACTAAAAAGCAGATAAAAGGAAATGGATGGAGAACATCGCAGATGAAGCAGAAGAAGCTGCAAAGGCCCAACACATACATGTACAATGTCAAGGCATGAGACATAATTTGTAGTGAGACACGGCATTACCTGGGCAGCATAAGGAAAAAGAAGAGGAAGACCCAAGACTACCTGGAGGTGCACAGTTTAAAAAAAGAAGACAGGAAGTAGGATGGCAAATCTGGGACGAAGTGTGGAGGTCATTGTAGCTAACGTTTTTAGTTTCGAATTATGTGCTTTATGGGTGTGAAAGGTCTTATCAAAAATATTAGAAGAAACATTCATATTCATTTCATTTTATTTATATATGTACTCTGTTGTTTAGAGTTAATTGAAACCTTATCAAAGAATGGCATGTCTGCTGGAGGTACTCACAAAAACAAGGAGAGTAAGGACAATGTACGTCACAGATCAGCAAATGGCTCTGCAAATTGGGAAGCCGCCAGTGAGGAAAAAGACTATACACAAGAACAGCTTCAGGCTGTCAAAAAGTAAGTTGAAGTTTCTCCTTCTCCACCCCATCCTGGGGTGAAAATACCAATGAACCCTTTAAGTCCCCATGGTGACCAACATCAATTTTCTCCCAACAATATTCATACCTTGTCAAGAGATTAGGTTATGAGAATTTATGAAATGATCATTAAAGAGAAAATGCTTTGATCTGTTATCAAACTCTCTCAACTAATTCTTTAAAAAAATGTATGAAGATCAGTATGGAGAATTTATATGTGTTTATTGGGGCTTGAAGGATTAACTCGTAGTTTGAGGGCCACAAGTTATTCACTCTTGGCACTTTTAAGAATTAGCATATAGAGTTGTGTGACACACATGGCTGTCATACAGTGAAAATTGAACTGCTGCACAGTCAATGCAACTGATTTAACTGAATCACAGTCAAACCTCCATTTGCTGATTTTTTAATCCTATTTAAAAATTATCTATGTAGGGATGTCACTAAGATTTCAAGTTGGCGGGTTAATACATGTACTACAAGTACGCAGGGAATCAGACAGCTAGTGATTTCTTTGGTTATAATTCATATCTCTTTTATTTTCCTATGAAAGTAGCCATGGGCCACATTTTAAAAAGTAGCTGGGGAGAACCTTGGTCCCCACCACTTAATGACAGCCTTGTCTATGGGTGCTTGTATTATGTCATTCTCCTTGTACGTAGAAAATGCACATGTACCTCATGCACTGCCACATATTAAAGGATGAAATACGATGTCATGCATGTCCTTTATTTTATTCTCCCTTCTTCTTAGTATCAAGAAATGCAAAGATTATTACGAGATTTTGGGAGTGAGTAAAGATGCTTCAGAGGCTGATTTGAAAAAGCAATATAAAAAACTTGCACTACAGTTTCACCCAGATAAAAACCGAGCTCCTGGGGCAGCAGAAGCCTTCAAAGGTTGGTACAGATACTTTTAGGCCCTGTTTACATTTTACATGTGTCTCAGTAGGACAATGCACGATAATGTCATTTTACGATGACTACCAGGGTTGCTGTGTTTTAAACTTCAAGGGGATTGACAAATTTAAATAAGAAAGTGAAAACAAGATGAATTCTGGTAGTTGTACATGTAGTCAAAATAATAATTATTAATGTTTTTCATGATGAAAATGACCCATTAAGAATGACCATTGTCTAATGTGTTTTGCAGTTTTCTTGTGGGGTTACCCTAGCTGGCATAATCTGCTGATAATGTACTATTCGAATCAAATTCAATTTTGTTAAACTCTTAAGAATAAAGATAAGCGAAAAATTTTTAACACTGGAGCAAAATCTCGATGTTGCCATGACAGCATTATCAAGTGATAAAGACAAAAGCTAAAAACTGACCTTATATATCCGGTTTAAAGTGACAAAATAAATTAGAGAACAAAAGTAACATGTTTGCATGTGTAAATGAAAATATTTTAAACAAACAGTTTTGCTTGGATGAAATCTGATTGTGTGTTTAAGCTTGGTTTCTTCTCCTTTGTAAAAAGCATTTTGTAAATCAGACAGTCTAATTTTCCTTTGCACTTCTTGAGTCCTTATCTTTACTGTTAAATGTACTATTCATAGAATTTAATGTTCTGTTCTCCCTTACAGCAATCGGCAATGCATTTGCAGTGTTGTCTGACACGGATAAAAGGAGAAGATATGATCAGTTTGGTGATGAGAATCCTCAACCACAAGTGTCCAGGGACCGTTATGATTATGCAAGAGGTTTTGAAGGTTAGTGATCTCTCTGGGTACAGGGCTGTCAAAAAGTTTTTAAGTACCCGGCTGATAATGAATCGTACGCAGCTTTGGAACTCGCACCAAAGGCACAAGTTCTTGAAGGGCCGCTTTACAATGTGCCTAGGAACAGCTTGAAAATTAGAGTCTTGGAAATGGCCTTTCTTGAGGTTTTCAAGAGGTACACTGTATTTTCCACTGCGGACGCCATGTTGTTTCGTCAGAATACGGGCAAGACTGGGAACAATGCTGTCGAAATGTCCCAGGCATTCCACTAGGGAAATAGCTTGGTTCAAACGTTTCATAGATCTAAACCTGTTTAAATAATTATGCTTTCAATGTCATTCAAAACTGGGAAATGGTTGCTTTACAATATTTTATTCCATGGCGCTTATGAATTGTTTTGTTAGCAGTATGGTAGAAAGAGATGAAAGTAGCTGGCTAAGGATGGCTAACTAGCCTTCTGTTTTGGCCGGCTACCGGCCCTTATTGACAGCCCTGTGGGTACCAGAGGTTTTTTCTTATTTATGGGAGTCAGCTGACATACGTTCAGCTGAAGACGGAAAGAACGAAACAACAGAAACTGGGCATGAAAAGTCTCTGGCATCCAGGTTAAAGATAAAAGCGTAATGGGGTGCTGCCATGTTGTGTATTTATGTACTTATGTTCATGTTGGAGAGAATACTCAACTTATGCAGCATAATAAAATAAATAGACTGTATTATAAATGGACTGTAAAATTTTCTGTTACAAAATGCGATACATGTAGGTGTTACATGGCAAGGGTATCATAACATTAATAAAATTTCAGTATAATTAGTTTGCTTCACTCTTGTTGTCTAAAGAGGCAAAAGGGTCAGAAAAAAATATAAGAAAATATAAGACAGTTTCTTATAACTATAATAGTAAACTTACAATGTACACTGTACATGAACATTAATGATATAAATGGTACTGTAACCTTACAGGATTTTTGCGACCTTGATAACCTCTGTATTTTTTATGTATGTAGCTGATATTACTCCTGAAGAGTTATTTAATATGTTCTTTGGTGGATTTGGTGGTGCAACTATGTCAGGAGGTAAGAAGGCCTTTTTTATACTCTGTACTTGTATACCGGCTTTCATGCTTTCTTTGTGTAGTTAGTAAATATTAAATTTTTGTCATCTTTGTAGGACGTATGTATTACCACAGGAGACAACAAGGAAGGCGACATGCACATCAGCAGTACCATGAAGAGGAAGACAATGAACCAGTGAGTTGACGTTACCCTACCATTATCCACACACAAATTTTCCGGACTGATCTCCATACATTTCCTTTAACAGTTAGTTGAGAGAAGTTGATATAAGATTAAAGCATTTTCCCCTAGTTCAGCTTTATTTTTATTAACAAATTTTTATATCCTTGTCTGCTGATCACTTTAACCCTTTAAGCCCTAATAGTGATCAGCATCAAATTTCTCCTTGTAATATCAATGCTTTGTAAAATAGAGTGGTCATGAGAATTACAGACATGATCACACATGATGAATTTGCTTGATATTTTATCAACTTCTCCCCACTACTTATGTAGGAAATGAATAGGGGCAACAAATGAGAATTCAAATTTTGATCTTAGGGTTTGAAGGGTTAAATGTACATTGTATGTTGTAGTGAATTGTTGATCTCCGGTAATAATTATTTAGCAAAGATTACCATACCCACAAACAAAAGAAAAATAAAAAGGACCGCAGATAAAAATTGACTGCAACATGTACAGTACACTGTTCATTTTGATAAACATTATTGTTATAGTGTTACCTCTGCATCCTGTGTCCCTGAAGCATAGAAATCCCCAAAGATCCAAACAAATTCATGGCATGCATACCGTAGGATGCAAAGATGGATCGAGCGATCTGACCGGTGTATTAGTTGAAATATCAAATTCGTGTAATTTCTTTGGCAGTTATTATGGCTGTCATTTAATGGTGCATTCTTTCAGCCTGTGTTGTGCTTTAAAAAAAAAAGGGCTATATTTTAATTTCACTATACTGTAATGTAATACAGAGTTTTGGAGTCTGTCTTCAGATTTACTGTCTGGTTACAATGTACATAAGGGGCCAAGCATTTTCATTTTGGGACTGGTTTTTGTCACTCGTTTTTTTAACTTTGACTCATTGGTTTTTGACTGGGACTCATGATTTTTCACAAGATGAGTCCCACGTCTCACCATAACTATTCGTAACAAAATCACTGTTGTTGGAAGAAAAATTGATGCTGTTCACTCTTGGCACTGTATTATGACTGTGTTCAGAGTGCATGGTATTGTGTATGTGAAACTTCTATTAGTATTCTGTCTGATGAACCTGCACATCCAGGGACTATTGGTACAGTATATTTTCCTACATATACTGTGTTTGTTAATTAATTATGTAGTGAACATTCAAAGCCTCTCATTTACGTGTACAGATAGTAAAGTGCAGTACATGTATAAGTAAACTTCATAATACCTGGCCGCTCATTTGCATCTCATTGAATGTCCCTATTTTGAAAAGGAAAAAAAAAATGGATCATGAAACGAATCATTCAAATCAAACGTACGAATTTTACAGGGTTAAGAATCCCAACTGGCTGTAGGCAAACCATATGGCTATTTACAAGTGTGGTTGGGGATTTGAACTCCAGACTATCGAGAACAAATCCAGCTACATGTACATGTAGTAGTTAGGGCGGAATTTTATCTCGGGACTTCCATTTTGCTAAGTCCAGAGCTCTAACTACTTAACCACGGTGGCTCTTTATTTGAAACGTTCCGACAAGTGTCTGAAGTTGCTCCAAAAATTTTTATTTTTTGCCAGTGAATGATACGTTCAAATGATTGTTCTCATTATATTATTTTTCAGCCTCTGGTGCAGACATTGTTCCAGTTTTTGCCAATCATATTGTTAGTGTTATTATCAGTGATGAGTAGCTTCTTATTACAGGATCCACCCTATTCCTTATCAAGGACAGGGTAAGTAATACAAGCACAATAGAGAGACTTAGATTTGAGGACGAGGACGACTACGAGTACGAGATTTTCTCAATACTTTGTAGTGCTCGCGCGTGAAACAGCATCATTTTGGCGGGAAAACGTGATAGCCGTCGTCGTTCTGCTACTACGAGTTTTGGCAAGAATGTTGTAGTGGCGGGAACAAGTTATCAAATGTAAGAAGTTTTATCATTTTCCTTTCGGAAGAGGGCTTAACCTCCTTCAGTATAAATAACCGTACTAACTTTTGTACGGAAAAAAAGTTAAGTGAAGCTTTCCGGGATGTCTTTTGTTTTGACAACACGCGCAAAACCTTTAAGTTAAATCTCGTCCTCAAGTCTAAAGCTCTCTATTAGAAGGCATTAATAAAACCTGGATCAGACTGGATGGGATTAACTCCTGTATATCACTAATTGACGAAAGGGCAGGGGTAGGGTCACTGGTCCGATCCAGGCTACCCCTACTGCACTCGATAATTAAATTATGCACTGTGCAGGAGGTGCCTTCCTCGTTGCCTACAGAAAGTGTACATTAATGTTGGCTGAACTTGTTTTTGAATTCATAAATTCCACTTGACATTTATTTAGAGCAACGGCCTACCATTTTGGTAGGTACATGTACATAGACCTCGTCACACAGATCCGGATAAAATTTAAAACGCGCCCTCTCTCTCCGATTTGGCTTACCGTCTACTCTAATCCGGAGCTAGGACGGTCTCAGGCCACGTTCGTATGAAGAAAACGTTACTTACCCCGGGTAGAACTGGGTCAATGCTAGCCTCGCATGCTGACGTTCTTATGCGGCTTCGTCACTCGTTCGAGGGGCAAAACATGCATTTTTAAAATGGCGAGTAATGATAACCTATACAAACAAAGTAAACGTCTGTTAAGCTCTTTCATTTAATTAAAAAGTAGATTCAGCGCGTCATCACTTTGGACAACAATCTAAAAAGTACCAAACATAACTGCGGGAGGAACGTTAATACTCAGAAAGTCAGAATTGAGTCTGAAGTCAAAAATCAGAAATACAGAGTTCAAACTTTGTAAGATTGAAGTCTGAAGTTTGGAGTCTGAAGTCTCAACTGAAGTTCCCCCTCGGCTTTCGTATACCCCTCCCCCAAAGCGAAACACTCTCACCGCTTCCTACCTTCTTTCAAACTGCCTTATTCACGCTCAACAAGTCAGGTCTTTTTATTTTTTTCAGTTCTTATTATATTCAGAGAGAAACGGCGCGACGGAGAATAAGCTACTACGTACAGGTAGGAACTAGGGACGTTTTACTTACTGGTTGCCCTTACCTAGTAATCTTTTTCTTCTAACGTCCAGTTTTTGTCTTACTTTAATCCGAATCCTTTAACCGGTTCACTTCAAAAAGTGGCCAAGGTCAGGACTCAACAAAAAATTCATTTAGTTTGTAGAGTGATGAAAAACACCGTGTTAAACGGTATACTTACTAAATACTACCGTACACCCGTACATTCTAAGATGCATATAGCAAATACGAAAAGTACTTGACAATTGACCTCAAAAGTGGCCAACGCGGCTACGTATTCTTCAAATAGCGCAGTCGCGCGGGCGCGAAACTCCGAGGGAAGAAAGAAAAAAACATACAGCTCTATGTAAAATTCTACCCATAAATCTATAAACATCATCTGTCGAAATAAGAAACCAAAAAAATGCGATTACAAACTCCGACAGAGGTACAACTTTACAGATCTCCCGCCAGAAGCTTTAACAGCCACGAACTTTCCCACCCATCTACAGAAATAAACACCGTACGAAATTTTTTTTTTTGTTGGTATATCCAAATCGCCAGAATTATCATTTTCCTCCGTTATGTTTATCACGTTACGGTGTTTTACAGTACTGAGGTATTATGGTTACACGGAAGTTTGTTTCCCGGAAAACTTACTACATGCAGCGCGACTTTTAGGCGGAAAATTTTATAGCCACTCTTCTGAATGGTACGTTTCTAGGAAACTGCCCATCTACCCCTCCATGGCTATGTCAGTCCCACAGTAAATAATTCCACGAAAGAAGTTGTCACTCCCCAGATAAAGTTATTCTCTAGGAAAAAGCCCTAATGTTGCCACAACTGAAGTGATTTTTGCCTTGATTCTTCGTGAAACTAGGTAGAACTGTAGGTCGGCTGCCCGTTAATTATTCTTTCATTTGATTTTATTACAGGAAGGATTTGAGGAAAAATACATGGATAAAATAACGAGTCTGGAAAGAAGGATAGAAGAAGATTACATCAGCAGACTTCAGTCACAGTGTTTTAGAGAAAGACAATATAGTAAGTACAATAAAATAGTTTAGGTAGTGATGTCTTGTCGTTTACTTGGGTAGGTGACGTCTATTTCCTTTTCGTAAACGGTCTTTGCCATTTTTAACCCTTTAAGCCGCAATATCCACATACGAATCCTCCAAATTGATCTCTACATATTTCCTTAAAGAATGAGTTGGGAGAATTTGACAAAAGATCAAAGCATTTCTCTTGGGTGATCAATTTATTAATTCTCATAACGTAATCTCTTGACAATCTATGGATATGTTTAGGAGAAAATTGATGTTGGTCACCACTGGGACTTAAAGGGTTAACGGTCGATGCCACGATTGGTAACCAAGCCTTTAGTCACGATAGATGTAGTATATTCCCATGATTAAATTACAATGAGGCAAATAATACGTTTTTCAATAGTCCTAGAAAGAACGACACTGAATCCCAAGTTGAATTTACATTAAAAGTTATGAAAAGGGCTAGGGTCTCTTGTTATTGATGTAACAGTTAGAAAGACAGTTTGCTTGTGTATGTACTTAAATTTTTCCGAATTGTGGCGGGTCGGTGTCGTAGTGTAGTGGTGAGAGAGAGAGATTAGGATACGAATGGTCCTGGTTCGAGGTCCAGGTTCTACCCTGGGTTGGGATTTTCTTTCTTTTTAAAAGAAACATTCTCAAAAACAGGTCAAAAATTTTCTACGTGTCTTAGAGACGGAAGCGACCTTTTAAGAAAGGGACAACTGCGTAGGTGACACTACAAGAAAAGGAAAAAGAAAGAAGTCCAACGGGGACGTGCTAACTGTTCATCAGTTTTGCATGAGAATACTTTTTCGTTGCTTCTGCTTCTATTAAACTCCTCGAGCAAACACCTAAAATAAGGGCCGTCGCCAAAATTTCAAGTTGCCGTCTATATGGAATTAATTTATTAGCAGGCGGGGAAGTAGACAGCTTAGACGTTCTTTTGGATGGATATGCTTGTAGTAGCCGGGAAATTCTCGGGGAAACTGATCCCCGTCCTCGGGCCCTTGTTGATAGCGCTGAAGTGAAATAGCAGTCACTGTATGGTAATTACACCGTACGCATACCGTAAATCCGTAAATCCTCTATTAAGACCCCCCGGGGGGCTTATTTATTTTAATCCCATTTGAGGCGGGGGGGGGGGGGGGGGGGTTAACAGGGACGGGGGCTTACACTGTATTTGAAAGGGGGGTTTATTTAATTCGGAACAGACGATGGTATCAGTTGTCCTTAAGTGGAAAAGCTCAAGTACAAGAAGAGTGGAGGTCTTGCAGCCGCGGATCAGAATCAAATCCGAACTTCCAGTTGGTAAATCAATAAATCATCCCGTATCAGTCCACACGAAGTTTTACAGTCGTGATTGATTAATACAGTGTATCATTTCTTAGTGAAGAATAATTATGGGACGGGAGGGGAGGGGTCTTAATAGAGAGAGGGTGGTCAATAGAGGATTTACGGCAGTTTTTAGTCTGCCTGGTAAGCGTTCGATTTCGACAGGAAGTCCTTCGCGTTCTTGTGCGTGCGATTTCTGTCTTTCCCCTTCTGTCTCGAAATATGCCTTTTACACAGGCTAGCCCCCTTTGCACTGGCACCGCTTGCCTTCGTAAGAATGTGACAAGAACCCCTTTCTTTAAAGCATTCGTAACGAACATTTCGTAAATAAAGCTTATTTTTAAGTATCGTTATGTAAACTAATGCAAAATTTCAGAAGATAACGAATTCATTACGATCGAACAAGCGCTTTCCCTTTCGAATGTAAAAATGTCTTGCCTAGTTTTGTAAACAGTATCCAAGACGAATTAAGCTATATAGTACTTCGTGTGGCTCTTAATATCAAAACAGAAAAGGACAGGCTTTTTTTTCCCTTCACTTAAATAATTATATAACATTTAAAGTCAAAGGTATTTTGCAAACGCATTTTTATTTAAATTGTGGCTTGATTCTAGTTGATAAGTCTTATCTCCGCTAAAAAATAATGTTTATCTCTTTAGTGAAATTGCCGTTTATTGTCGTGCGTGGGCTCGATTTAATGGATCTGACAAACTTCCAAGTAGCCTTTAGGTATCACGACAGGCGTGATCATGAGTTTGAGAGGCCGCCAGTTTGATATGACGGACAAAGTCTTAGCCTCCTTAGTGCTTCGTACGCGTCACGCATTCTTTCCATGCGCGTGACGAAGACCTAAACTGTAAGAATGTTAGTGAGCTTACGCAACAGGACAGCAGGAAGAAGAGGACGGCAAAACGCTTGTGTGTGACAAACGTGACAGGGCTATTTCTTGCGTGTTTTGTCGTAATTCTCACTTAACATTAATATTTTCTGGTCTTTTACAAAAAAGATCTTTTTAAAGGAAGGTGAAGTTTGGCAGAAAGTTATGTCAAACAAAATTATTGTCACGCTTGTCACACAAGGTTTGCCATATTCTTTCTTCTCCCGTGCTGTTGCGTAAGTTCACTAATGTCTGCGTGGAAGGGCATAGCTAAGTTAGGCGAATTTCAAACCGCCATGAGGTTCGTAATGTTCACCTGTTAAGCAACGATAAGCTACAGGCGCATCTGGTAAGTTATAGCAACGTCCTTTTACCATGAAAAGGAGCATTACCCTCCTTTGCGTGCTGTATACAATTCTTGAATCTCGAATAGTTCCTTTTCCCGGAAATTTCCTGTCTTAAAAATCAAGCAGGTGTTACAATCTTTAAAGTTTTCCTTTATTTTTCGTTTTAATTATTATTCTATATCTTTCCTAATTGGACCAATTAATCACTCAGCTTTGCTACAATTATCGTTATTTTTATTTACTTCCCTAGTATGTTTTCATTAAAATTTTCTAATAAGTTACATTTTTCGTTTATTTTCTAATTCACACCTGTATTGGTTTTTCTTTTGTTTGACTTTTATCGGTAAAAATAATTTCTTGGCGACATGCACTCATTAATTTAATCGTCATTTATCTTACCGATGTATTAACGGAAAAAAACATTTTAATCTGCAAAACCTATAATTTCCATCCCGACTGTATATTGGATCCTTTTTTCCTTGTCGGATTTTTTTTCGTTAAATGTTCAGCGAACAAACACAAACTGACGGAAATACATTTCCTTGTTTTATTTTGTCAAAACTCACGTTATCCTTAAAGTAAGTTTCTCAGCACGCCATTTCAGTTGAAAGCTTCAAACTTCCTGAAGTCGCAAATTGATGCATACCTGCCTTTATTTTTCTTTTCATCCTCTCGATTTTTCACAAAATGACGCATTTTCCTTTTCCTTTCTTGGTTGCCTTTGTAGTCACAGCCCTCACTGCCTCATTCAGTACATCAACATAGCCTCGCTGTTTTAATGCGGAACACTCGATGTACTTCAATGCACCTATTTTTCGTGCCATTTTCTTGGCTTCCTTCTGCGTAACCACCTCGGCAGGGTGCTGGCCGCCTCCACCTTTCCCGCGCTTTTTCTGCTCGTCACGGAGATCCAGCTTTGTGCCTATAAGAACTATGGGAGCTTTTGGTGCGAATTGTGTCACCTCTTTGCACCATTTCTTTTCGACGTTTTTAAACGACTCCACATCAACGAGAGAAAAACATACACAGAACACATCGGTTTCATGATAATTTCCCTGCCTTGCTGCAGCTTTCTCCTCTTGTGATTCAGTGTCCCACAATTCCAGTTGATAGATTTTCCCGTTGATGTCGATGTTAGCGATGTAAGCGCTTGTGAAGGATTCCACTTGCTTACGCGACAGATTGTTGGAGCTGTAACACAACTGTAATAACAAACATGTCTTCCCTGTCCCGTTATCTCCGAGAAAAACGCACTTTACTTTCCTCTCGACGTCTGTATCCTTATCAGTTACAACTGCAACTCCGTCGGCCATGTTTCTTGTCACAAGAAGAACAGGAAAGTGCAACGTTTCACCGAAGGGAAGCCGGATGTCGTATTTCTTCAGCGAATATTGTTTTCTGTTGTTATTTTTTGTCGTTCCCCTGTTTGGTGCGACTCCGTTTGACCGTGGCGAAAATTTCTTTTCCAAGCGATAGTCAGACGACTACTAAAAAAATTGCTAACTCCTCTTGCCAAGGAACGATAAAAATATCCGGTTAAAATTCTTACAGACTGCAGCTCTGTCGAGGCGAATTCCGGATATTTTGCCAGCGATCCTTGTGGTTTTTTTCCCTTACTTTTATCGCCACTGCTTGACACTAAAAAATATCAGTTTTCCTCGCTTTATATTTACCCAAGAAGTCGAAAAAAGCGATGTCTCGAGCGTTCGCTGGTGTTTTGCTCGCAGAAACAGCGGATAAAGATTACTGCTCGTGAGACGAAACCTGATATTTTAGGTTAATAATTCTTGGAGCCATCAGCGAACCTGAAATGGACATTGTCACGCACTAGTGTCGCCTTTTCTTGCCAAAAATCAACAGCGTGAAGTTTCTTTGGGGTTTTCCTTCTGCAGCGTCGCTTTTTTAACGTGTTGAGTTCAGGCTCTCATGGAGTAGGGCAGGGTGTAATCAAAAATATAAGGTGAAACTGCTTCATAGTCTGCACAGAGACCGCGGTGGCTGACATCGAGGATTATTTATAAACAATGCTTTGAAATATTGTGACGTTGTATAGAGATTAGCATTTATAGTTATCCAGTCGGCGATTAGATCAGGTGAAAAATTTGCGTCAAACAAATACCTCGAACGTTCATCTCTTTTCGGCTTTCGATCCATATGACATGTCTTTCCATTTTGTTCATTTTCAGTTTTTTTTCTCTTTTTTTTCATTTTCCCTTATCAAACCAGAATGAAATATATTTTTAAAACCTTTGCGTTTTGAATTATTAATGGTCGCGATTGTGTCTGTAATTTGAAATAATTTTTCCACTTCATAAAATCCTTGAGGACTCATTTCCATATTTTTATTTTTTCTTTGCAGTTGAATAAAATTAATAATCAGTCCCTGTCTGGCTGAATATTTTTGCGAAATGACACGATACGTTGATTCTGGGTTGATTATACTTTTGCATACTGGGTTTCCATTCAACACCAGTTTATTTACTTGCGAATCTGTGAATATCATGCTGTTTCATTGTTTTTCTGTGATTTTGATTTAAGGCATAAAATTGTACTCTAATACACCGTATTCTCATGTTTCAATCCGGCTCCAAAGATAAATATTAGGCCTTTGTTTACTGCTGTTATTATATTTAATCGTCAGCTGATTTTTGGACCTTTAAGTCTAAAATAAGCCTTTTTCTCTCCCTTATCAAAGAATATCTCTGTTGGTTGAATTGCTAGAGCTTGTTTGCGAGGCAAGGCGCGTTTTGCTCTTAACATCTTAAGCTGTTCAAGCATTATGATATTTTTACGCTTCAAACCAATATTTTAAAAGCTGTGAAAATTTGCATATAAACTTGATTCTTGTGGATAGATCTGTCGCTTAACTTTTTCTACTTTACGTGTAAATTTTTTTTTCGATTAAGTGGTGGTCGAGGCGGTACATTTATCACGCTAATCCGCATTTAGAGTTCACCTTAAACAAATGTAAAATATAGATTTATCTTGTTTGATATTTGATGGTATGCTGTGAATTGTGTTCAATATCTTGGACCTTAAGTTCCTTAGTGATGGTTTTTAAATAATTATACGGTTGATTTAGATGCGAAAATAAATATAGGTATTGAGAATATGACTGTATACTTAGACGCGTCCAATTCTTCGAAAAATTACTGATTTGACACTTAATCGTTTCTCATTCTTCTACTGAAATTTTAACCCAGCTTTGACTCAAGTTTCTTTTTTTGCGTTCTCGGCATTCTTTCGGTGTTTTTTTTAAAACCTCAGAAATCGTGCTTATGGTCAAATTAAGGCGCCGACCATTCGACTTTTGAGGGGAAGGGGGAGAGGGGTACGGGTGATTTCAGAAGGAAATATCTTGCAGACTGATTTTGAGGGGGAAAAATATCTTGCGAAGAAATACCTGGGGAAAAACTATCTTGCACCGAAAACACACCGGTATATGTTGGGGAAAAAAGTTTAGAGGTTTGGGGAAAAGAAGTCTTACCCAAACCAAATCACCCGTAGCCCCTCATAAGTCAAATGGTCGACTTCTAATGCGATTTCCTCAAGAATGCTAGTGTTCCTCCAATTTTTTAGAATGAGGCCATCGTGATAGTAGAAATACCTTCCTATTAACCGATTTTGTGATACGTTCTGGAAGTTTTTGTTTTATGGCGCAAGCCAGGAGCCCACCCAAGCGCGTTAAATCAACAGAAAAAAACAAGGATCCTTAATGCAGGTAACGGAGAGAGAAAATAAGCTACCGGAGCCCTGATACGGCCTGAAAAATTGACTAATCACAACACACGCACCTACAGAGAGATCTATTAGGGGATATTTTATTGAAAGTAAGAAGACAAATTATGAAAATTGGTTTTGAAAAATTGGACTTGGTGTGTTGTTGGTACACTCGTTCCCAGGTCTCCGTGCGTGAAATTTGTCCCTGTTGAAAAACTCTTTATCCGTTTTAATGGCTGTTTTTTGTTTTTGTTTTCACTTTTCCTAATTACTTTGTTTATATGTTTGTTTAAGGAGAGGAAGTCCGAGCTCGGGCGCGGTTTTGGCGCGATCAGCAATTACTGGATCGAGCAAATGCCATGGAAATGAGATCCTGTGACGCTCTGGAGAGAATAGCAGTAGCTGGATGATAATACAGTGTAATTACCTTTACCAAAGGCCATAATTAACAATGTTTGACCTCTAGAATAATTTTTATAGTGTACGTATATTCAGTGTCAGGTCTCCTTCGCCTGAACGCCCTAACAAGGCTAGTCTTTACAATGCCTATGCCGATGTTCTCTCTAATGTAACAGAAAAATGCAGTCGAACCTGCGTTTCCTCTCTACTAACGGCCATCTTTACAATGGCCTCCTTGTTCTCTCTACTCCAGGCCCCAGTTGTTTACTCCTGCGTAGCAGGCGTCGAAGGGGGTAGGGGAATAGGAGGAAGGGAAAAAGGAAGGGGGGTTGGGAAGAGGGTCCCTTTTCCCTTTTGCGATGCTTCAGATTTTGCAATTCGGCGTAATTCGTCATAGCAAGGAGAGATAAAACTTCAGCGGTTTACATTGTTACCCTTGATTATCAACTGTCTACTCAGTGAGGGGGTCGGGCGGGTGTCAATTTAATCAACACTAACTAGCGCCGAAACTACACTTGACGAGTGTTCTTGTGTTTAGTTAATGGCTGTTTGATTAACGCTGCAGTCAAATTCCAGTCAGAAAGTTAGGCGGTGGGCGTGTAGTTTCTTTTGTTAATTTGTTTTCAAAATGTAATTGTAAATTGTAAGCTGAAGGCGTAAAACTAGTTCAAAGAAAAAAAAAATTAAAATTGTCCTTTCTACATTTGAGTCCAAATTGCAAGAAATTTGGAGTATTCTGAAACGTGGTTAAGACTCTAACAACGGTAGTGCAGAAGTTGTTAATATGTTTTAAATAATTCCAGCGGGAAAGGGGAAGATTTTAGGCTAACCACATAGAAAAATGAAAAGTTGCAGGACAACATTTGGAGAAGTACACCTCTTTAATTACAGTTACGGTACATGATTGTTCTCCGGTTAAGTCACGCTTTCCTTTCTGTGGTAGCAATCCGGTGTCAAAGTGATATAGGCATCCCCGCGTTTTGGGCATTCCCATTCCCAAAACCCTAGTGATATGGACATCACCTTCTCATATTACCTTAGCGATTTGGGTTAGGGTTAGGGTTACAGGGGACGCTCATATCACTAGGGTTTTGGGAATGGGGATGCCCAAAACGCGGGGATGCCCATATTACTTTGACATCGGCACTTTAAAAACCAGAAGGAAACTGCGTCGAGTTAGCCTTCGCAAAGACTTCTGGGATTGTTACTTGGGACAGAGAAAAAGATTGGACAACAGGGGACTTAAGCAAAAGCGCTTTTGAGCGACACACGTCTACCGGAAGTGGACTTTTAACATTCCTGAGCAGTAGTCTTACCCACATTTTCAGTTAAATCGTCTCTACAAGTATAAAGAAACTAAGTAATTCAAATTTTATAGCGTCAATGCATAGTCCTCATTTACGGTTGACGTGCAAAACGCCTGCTAAAGCTCCCTAATAACTGCCCCGTGCGTCCCTAGTAGCAATCCCAAAAACAATTGCGGGACAATTTCGGCACCAGTTTCCTTCTCGTTTCTAAATTGGCGTAAGCGTGACAACCCATGTAACGCAAAGTTGACTTTTACCAGAATGTGGTGAAACTATTTATACTATCCATAGTATTTTTTAAGTTATTATTAATATTGATTCTCACTCCGTCACGTTTCTGTTATACCAACAGTCACATTCTTTGTCCTCTTGTCAATTAACTCCACAGTTTTGTTAAAATTAAATCACTGTAATCACTATGTGTTTGCTTTAATTGACCGTTATAGTGACGTTAGTTCAGTGTCAGTTTCTTGTTAAACACTCTTTTTGAAAGCATTAAGCCAATCGCAGCAAACCTCTTTCTATATTCCCCATTCCAGTAGCCTGCGGGGAGCAGCAGAGATGACGGTTACAACAATACAAACATAAACAAGCTTTCGCCCGCGCAAAGTACGCCTACACTGCACGCTATTTCGGCTCTTGTTTCACCCGCCGACAAAATTGATATTTTCTCGGCGGGTGAAAAAAGAGCCGAAAAAAGCGTCTGCTCCCCGCAGGTTACCATTCCAGAAACTATAAGGGACAGACCATTAGAAAAGTTTTGTGGGGAAGGGCAATTTTCGAGCCGCAGGAATTTTTTTTCGTTATCAAATTCCTTGTATGAATTTTTTTTAGGATATAGCATGAATATTTTTTAGGATTAATTGGCGGGCATGAATTTTTTTTCACTTCTTTTTCCCTTGCATGAACTTTTTTTGTTTGTACATCCCCCCCCCCCCCCCCATAACTTTTCTAATGGTCCGTCCCTAAAGGAAATGGATACAAGCTTTGGGCGCAACGATGTCTGGGATCTCTGAGGGAGGACAAGCGTTACTTATGATTGCTAAAATACCGTCGACCATTCGTAACTACAAAAAGACCCCAGAAATCACTTGTTCCCTTTCTTCCTCGAGTTTCTGAAGAAGGGAATTTGTTCTGCGAGTAAAATGAATTATTTTGGTCTGAAATTTGGGAAAGTCTTGAGAAAGCTTGCCACACTGATATCACCTCCATTTTCCAAGAGTCATCATTCTGGGCAGCCAACGGCCCTTACGCAAATTATACCACCAAGCCTCGTTTGTGAACGATATTCTTCTCATTGACACTTTCCGTGCATGAGTATTCTTTTCAACCTTTTTATTCGCGTAAACCGTCGCAAACTTGCGCTAAATTGGTTGGCTTGGTTTTGTGAAATTTGTTCGTCTGCGTAAACATGCATGTAAGGGCTAGCTAAGGGCTATTTGTGTAATTTACAGGGACAGAATACCAGAACCAAAAATCCAAGTAAACCACTTAACACGGTGCGCGACCTAAAAGGAACTCGACGAGAAGTGAAGGAAGTAACATGAACAGATTTGTTGAACCAGAGATCAATGTTCCTAGCACAGAGGTCACAACTTGACACAAGAATCGACGGGGTCGATTGACAATACAAAAGGTCTCTAAGTTGTGAAATCGGTACAAGTAGTACACTGTCGGTTCGAACTGAAAACGATAAAATCGAACCATTACTTAGCTGAAAATACATAGAGTGCAAATATATCTGACTAAAAACCGATAATTCCAAATAGCGAATGAGAACTAAATAACACTAGACTATACAGTGAACACCCTCGGGGAATGCTGTAGTGTCCGCTTAATACAGGGTGTCCGCCTAATACAGGTTTCGATACATAACGTCATATGAGGTGTCAAATGCCATTCAAATGAACAGTACAAGCGTTTATAATACTCCCAGAGACTATAACGATAGACGTTTGCATTAATTTCTTTATCAAAGTGAACCAATTGATCATAGTACCATAAACATGGATTGCAACTCAAATTTGGAGACATCAGATGAGTGAAACAAGCTCTATACAAACAAAACGAAATAGAAAACAATAGGCTGTACTGTGAAAGTAATCGCATAAGTTCGTCAAGTCACGATTTTTAACGTAAAAATCGAAAAATTTGTGGGTGGCAATTCGAGACAATCTTTCGCATTTGTGGTGTCTGGCATGTTGGGTGGTGGAATCTATTTACAAGTGTCCGTTTAATACAGGTTGGCAACAATAGAAATGACCATTTCAGGAACTTTTTAGTTGTCCGCGTCCGCTTAATAGAGGTGTCCACTTAATAAAGGTTTCATTTAAAGTAAATAAGGGAAATAAATTTGGGGACTTCGGCTACTGTCCGCTTAATAGAGGGTGTCCGCTTAATACAGGTTTCACCGCCTATAAAGTGATTAAAGTAATACGACGATAAAACTGCTGGCACCAGTCACTGAGCGTACTCATGTTGAAGAGTAGCGCATACGAACCCTTATAAAACCACTGTAGCTCAGTGATGACAAGACTTTTTGATTCAAGATAACTCTGGTGTGTGTGTAATTTCTTTTTAGTTTTCCAGTATCATGCCCGCCAATTAATCCTAAAAAATATTAATGCTATAGCCTAAAAAAATTCATACAAGGAATTTGATAACGAAAAAAAATTCCTGCGGCTCGAAAATTTTCCTCCCCCCATAACTTTTCTAATGGTCCGTCTCTTATAGTTTTTGAAATGGTAACCTGCGGGGAGCAGACGCTTTTTTCGGCTCTTTTTTCACCTGCCGAGAAAATATCGATTTTGTCGGCGGGTGAAACAAGAGCCCAAATAGCGTGCAGTGCAAACTCTTCTTACTTGTCCTTCATAACCTTTTGTAAACACAAAAAAAGCTAAGCTGAACTTGATAGTTGATGACCACGAGTGTAGATAGAAATGAAGCCCGAATGGCTGAAGTTAACACCATGAAGTCTACACTAGAACTGAACTAAGATGAAAACGCTAAATTTGTAATAAACAAAACGTGCTTGGAAACGATCTAGAAATTATTACGTATTTCCCATGCGGACATAACGAAAAAAGGGCTGGGAAAGTAGCCGTGGACTTATCAATAAAAATCATCATTTATGTAGGCTATAATCGATTTATAATAACTACCATAAGCGAGTTCGTGCACCAATAAGGGATAACGACCTTGCACCTTCTTATATTTCTGACCTTTTGAATTTTAAAACATACTCTAGGTCATTGCGTTCTTCATGTAAAGAATATTTAGTGGTTCCAAGAAGCAGATTGAAAACATATGGAGACAGAGCTTTCTCTATTGCAGGACCTAAATTGTGGAACGATTTACCTCTAGAGATTAGGAAATGTGCTTCAGTGGCAACTTTTAAGGAATCCCTTAAAACTTTTTTATTTAAGTTAGCATATAGGTTATGAGATTCCTTTTGTTTTGAGATGTTTTTGATTTATATAGTAGATAACTTAGGCTATATTTGAATTATATTGTATATTGTAGATATTTTATAATTTAGATTTTTTATATTCTATTTTGTAATTAGGTAGCGCTTTGGACAATTATTGGATTTTAGCGCTATATAAATAAAATTATTGTTATTATTATTTATTAACGAAAAGAAATCACGTTTCAAAACCAACAATTTGCTTTTGACCATGTGGAATATATACTAAGCCCAATATTGTGTTACAAAAGTTTATGAAGGATAAATAAAAAGAGTTGTTTCCTTTCAAACGACAATCAAAAAATGGAGCCGAAACCAATTGTGGAATTGCACGCATTTTAGGCATCCTACTGATGAACAGTTGCAACACGTAGATATATATTTTTTAGCAACTAAGATGATTTGCAGTCTGTCTACTTTGAATTGATTTGAACTGGTACATACAGTAAATA